TCATTTTCTAAACATTTTTGGTTTGATAAACAAATTAATTAGCAAAATATTTAAGGATAAAAACGAAAAATATGAAATAATTTTTTTTCGATAATATCTATTATCGAAAAGTAATCATTTAACGTCAAATCAAACCTCGAAAAATAATCATTTTATGCCGATCTGCACCTTATTAAGTTTTTGGTTTGAACATGAAACTCCAAAAAACTGGTAATCACAAAACTCGCATTACTCGCATAATTTCTTTACAATATAAGATAGATGGAAAATTTTCATTAAAAACACGCGTTTAAGCGACAAAAATATTAATGAATTTCAAATGATAAAGCAAAATCGTACAACATAACCAACTTTACTCATCTAAAATATTATTGTTTTTCAATTAAGCGAATCCGTTCATTCATTTTTATACTCTTTCATCTTTCAATAGCATTCACCATTTCTGATTTGGCTGGCTCCACTGGCTGTTAGGATGAGGCCCTTTCACTAAAAATCACTTGTGAATAGAGATACGTATATATACGTCCAATTCATTTTTAAGGCTTGCTCTGGTCAGGAATAAAATAAAATTTAAATGATGGGTTCATTTTAGTCGAAAGCACCATTCGATTGCCTTGCTCCAATCTCCAAGACCATTTTATACTTTAAAAGAAAAAGCAGATTCAAAATATTGTTAGCGGATAGTTGCCTGGATTATCGTGTTAAGAGGCAAGAGTTCTGCTTTTACGCTTGACAGCAATAAACTTATTATTGTTAAAAAAGTTATTGTTAAAAAAGTTATATTTTTCATCTATCACCAAGTAACTCCCTGGCAAAAATTTTTAAATTTTAACCGTGTTAATAACCAGCTGATCCAGCTTTATAAGAAATACTAAGCGTTAATCATTTGTTAACTTTCATTATTATTTATCATTACATTATTCATTATTGTTTTTACCCTTATTATTATTAATTATTTTTAATTGTCATTGTTGCTTCCATTATTTAAATATAAATATATATTTTCCAAGCTATAATCAATAATATAAATAAAATGGAAATAATTTATTTGATTTCTAACAACTGCGAAAAAAACATTCATAAAAAGTTTAACGAACTATATTAACTTATTTAACTATAAAAATACAATAAATTTATTTAGTAAAACAAAAAAAGTCCACTGAAAAGCTAAAATGGCTAAATAATTAACCAAATTGGAATCGACGATCGTTTCTTCAATTTTTACTTATTTGATCGAATTTGCTGCAAGAAAAAGAATTTTCAAAATATATAATATTTAAACAGGAAAATGAACAGCCAGGCACCTCTTGAAATTTCACCAAACAATAAAATAAATTTTCTTTATTTATTTTAAAAGAAAAAAGGTGAGCAAGAGCGAGAACAAAAATTTCTGAAGTGCTATACAAATAGTTAATGCCTTGTAGTAAGAAAATTTCAAGTGCTTCAAGAGTAATGTTCTTTTTAATTAAACAATTAGTTAAAGATCTTAAATTTTTAGAACCGTAAATCTGCTTCTTAAATGGTTCAATATGAATAGAAAATTATTAAAATATCGTTAATAAGGAATTATGGCAGACTCATAAGGCATTGCATTTTATCAATGTTCTTTTAATTCTCTCATAAAAAGGATTAACCAGTTCTGGTTCGGCTTTTATTCTCCACTTCAGTACTCTTGGGGATAGGATGGCTCAGTGGGCTGTTCAATTGGGAGCGCCGATGCTGAGATTCGATTCCCTGTAGGAGTAAACCTGTACAAAAATCCGCTAGCGACTCATATGTATTTCTATCGTCAGGACTCCCTGGCATATTACCATATGCGACAAGCCAGTGGAGCGAGTTTAAACAGTAATGGTGAGGACTCTAAAAAAAAAGTTGTTTACTATATGAAATTTTTTTGCGAGGGAGCCAGTTGGGAATAGGATAGATAAGTTCTACCCGTATTTCGTGGTCATATAATGACAAATTTACTCCACCTAAAGAACCAGTCATGATACTTGCAGTCTTAATCGAAGAAATCTACCATTCCGACCATTGTTATTTCGAAAATAAAAGAAGAAATGAAGATAAAAAATCCGGGAGAATCTAACAAATTTTTAGAGAAAATTCGAAGGAATCTTTTGTTAATTTTTTGTTTCCAAACAAAAAATTTTAGTATTCTGTCTATTTCATAAAAAATTTATTTCCCAGAAAATTTATTACCAAAAAATTTCCCAAAATATTTATTATATGACCACGTAAAAAATATTTTTTGCTAAAATGAGTTCAGATCATTTCTCTTTCATTACAACTGAGATCCGGCTGAAGATTTGCTAAAGATTCACTTCTATTACCTTCTATCACCAACTGAGAAAGCCTCTCGAAGACGAAATAAACCTATTAACCGATAAATGAGTTAATGAAATTCCAAGATTTTATTATCGATAAATATTTGAAAAATATTAAATATTTGTAAATATTAAATAATATATTAAATATATTAATATATTTAATATTAATATATTAAATATTAAAGATAAATATTTGTTCGCTATATTTGAAAAAAAACGTGGAAAAGAACCAAATTGTAAAACACGACTTCCATCGATTTCAGCGAAGAAATTTTAAAATACAAGTTTACTCGACAAACATTTATAAAAATAGAATAAAGATGTCGATGTAGAAGAGAGGAACTTTGCTGTAATAAATGACAAAACAACTTTCAATATAGACCTTTAAAAGAAAAATTTCAACCTTTTACTACTGAAATATCTACAATAGGCTTATAGCAAAATATGTATAGGTAACATACCATGTCGTAGCAAGGAACAAGGCGAACTCGTATATTGTCAAAAATGTTCAGAATTTTCTGTAAATAATAGTTTGCGTTGTAAAAAATGACTAAAGGTGATAAAATCGCAAAGGCTGAAGACTTAGGGCCGATTTTTTTACAGCTTATAATTTTTACGCGATCTTGTTGACATAGATCCCGAAATATTTTCGACTTATCAGTGATTTCTCTAATTCAGTAAAATTAAAAAGGTTAAAACTCACCAAAAAAAGGAAATGTCGACTTACGTTTAGCTTGTGTGAAAAATTATCAGAGTTCGAGATAAACTTCTTAAAATTAATGCTGAAGGAATCCCTTTTAACTCATTGTGGTTCCATGCATGCAGATTGAATCGATATTCAATCGTTCTCTATGAATGTTATAGATAATTCTCCATTCTACTTTTTTATTCCTTTCTTTTTATATTTTATATTCACTTAATTTCTTTTTTAATTTTTCATAAAAATTTCTTTCATAATGTAATTTTGCATTTTTTTAAACGAATACATTTCTAAAATTACTAATAATTGATTTATTCGATATTTTATAACTGCAACTATAACAAATAATATTTATTATGATTTTTAACTGAGTGATTTTTGCTTGCTTATTCTCAACATTTCCACCTGAAATTGTCAGCTGGCCAAAATTTTAATTATTATTATTAACAATTAAATTACTATTATTAATATTATTATTATCCAATTTTACTTAAAATTTATTTTTATTTTAAAATTTTTATTTTAATAATTTATTTCATTACCATTTTACTCAAATAAATAATTGTTAAGATTCAATTTTTAAATCAATTTTTTAATTGACATTGAATAAAGTCCGACTTAAAAAATCTCCATTTCCTGGTTCAAATTCAAAATAATTTCATTTTTTAGAAAGCATTATTTCAGTGAAGAAACGCAGAATGCGAAGATACCAATTTAAAATTTCTTTCTGAGTCAGAATTTATAAACTAAACATTACTGAGACTTATAAGAAATTTCTCGACACCGATTACGCCCGAAATTATACAATTAAAAATTCTTGGACATCCGATTTCTTAAAAATTGTCTAAATTTGACAAAAGTATATTTAAAGCATATTTTACGACCGATAAAAGTCAGCTGTTTACATAGTTGTTTCACAAAATTTATACGATGATAATTTGTTGTTTTTTGTAATAAAATTCGTGAAATATTCAAATAAGATATCAAATTATATTAATAATTAAGATGTTTACAGCTTAGAAACTGCTTTTTAATAAAATTATTCTCTTGATCAAAGACTAAACCTTAATCTTAGGACGGATTTTTTAAATAACTATTCTAATCGAAGCGATTTTAATTTTTTCTAGTATATCAAGCAATATTTTCTGGTTTAACTGATTATGATGAGATCTATTAGAGTTGTTTGAGGGCAAAGGTACAAATAGGACATCAACATAGGATATAGCTGATTATCAAGGAGAAGGGATAAAGCTCATGATGACTGAATCTTATGGAAACAATTACATTAACCATTACATCAACCAATAAAAATATAAAAAGTGCGAGAAATATTTGGTTAAAAAATACTGACTTGGAGAAATCTAAATCCTATACATAAATTTTAAAAACTAGAAAAAGTGGTCAATAAATTTTTCTAATACCATATTTAACTTTATTTGAAAAAAAGATATTTCACAAAAACTTACGAATGAAATTGCACTATTGATGAAGCACTATATCTGATTATATTTATTTACTACATAACTTATTATTCGTATATTGAAGACCTTTACAGAACCAATGATTTCACGAAAGATATATTTATTTTAAAAGCAACCAGGATCTTTTACGTATTTGTAACAATAATCAAAAAGAAAATTAGAACAAAATAGTATTAACAACAAGAGACCTGAAATAACAATAAAGAAATTTATGATATTAGTGGAATAAAAACTTTAAATGATGCGGATAATGCTATCAAGTTTCTTTTCAGAGGTAAAATTAGTGGCAACAAACATCAGACTTTTAACTGATATAAATTAATAAATAACAAAATGATTTGGTCGCATTGCCAAATTTTCATCCAAAGACTTTCGAATAAAAACTAGTTTCCTTAAAACAGCAAAACTTAATTTAAAAAAAAATTAGAAAGAAACAATAAAATTCAGCAAGCACTCAGCATTCAATAACATATGAGAATTATGCAAGGCACCTTAGCAAAATTTTCTGAAAACGACGCCAGATGTGGTAACACCCGTACTACCACCAAATTTCAATGTGTGCGAAGCTCTAATTTCCTTAACGAAGACTAAATCTGGGCAAATGAACTGATTTTGCAATTCGTCTCTGAAAATTTGGAAAAGCCCATTGATTAAAAATAAAACTAAAAACAAATAGAACTAATGCTGTTAATATAAAATGCTACAAAAAAAGTTAACCAAGTGGCTAAATTTTGCACTAATCAACCAAAAAACCACTATACTGTCCATAGAAGTAAAAAAAATTAAGTCAGAGATTTGATTTTAATATTTTGTTAAAAAATTGAAAGAATTTGTTTATTATGCAGATTTATTCCACAAACAAATTCCATTAAATCAGAAAATGAAAAACCAATAAAAACTTACACAGTGAAATTGCATGAAATCATAATAAATATCCCATTTTCATCAAGAATCTTGCAAATAAGATTTCTATAAGTTAATAAACGAATATTTCGATCATTAGAAAGGCTCATCGCATCCCAAGTACCTTTATCTATTACAACGTCAAATTTTTCACCCATAAGAACATTTTTATCCAACAAATCAATGACCTAAAATCAAAATCAAAAACTTTGAAACATAAAAACATAAAAAAGTCATAAAAAGCAAAAAAAATAAACATAAAAAAGAGAAAATTAGATAAAAAATAAAAAAATTTAGAAATAAAACTAACTCTAAAATTTATAGAATTATTCAAAGCATTCGTGGAAGAAACAATATTTTTAGCCAAATTCACTGCATTATTGCAATAATCTACACCAAACAATTTTGTGAATTGTTTTTGCTGCTATAGTAAATATTATAAACATTAATAAAAAGTTAAATTAATAAAATTACTATGCATGTTATATCAATTTAAATATAAATTTACGAAAGCAAGAAATTCTAATTCACTCAGCCCAAATAGCCCAAAATGCAGCTAAAATGAACGGCAATTATAAGAATCCAGAAAAAAATGAACTAAATAAAATGAAAGCTTGGAAATTTGCAAATAAATGCAGAATCTAATGGATAATTCGTAATAAAATAAAAAAAAGAACGTTTTGCTAATCGCTTTTCTCGCCTTTTTTCTAACCATCAGTGATAAAAAATAACTTTTAGAATAAATCTGAAAAAAATTATATAAAAAATTATATAATTATACAAAAATTATATACTATTAAGACTATACAAAATTATATAAAAAACAAAATAAAACCAATCAACCGAGAAATTACCACAAGCGCATAATTTTCTAATATTTTCACCAAATTTTAAACACCTGACAAAAAAAAGAACTTACTAAGCAATGTAGTAATGAACCATTTCCACAACCCAAATCGATTATTCGAGAACTTTTGTCGAAAATGTTTTCCTCGATGTATTGGACAATTCGGTTCTCAGCACGTTTTCCGAACCATATTTCACCATTATCACCGTATTTCGCATAATTATCCAATTCGCGAGTGTAATGACGATCCCAACTAAGGAAAAGGAAATTTGTGAATGGCACAATTTAAAGCTAAAATTCCAGCTTCAACAATATATTTGATAGAATTTTTTTTACACTTTCCCTAAATATTTTTGGCCGATTTTTTCTTTTAATTTTCTTCAACTTTTTCCCGGACACTTTTTGAGTATTTTTATAATTTTAATGAGTAAACTAGTAGCGCAGACAAGACAGCAACTCAGACCATCGCGTTAAGAGGCAAAGGCTCGAATAATGCTCCGACATTTGTGGATTATGCTGGCGATTCACCAGCACCACTAAATGATTCGCCGACAGGACGGATTCGCTGGAGGACCGGCCAGAAGGACGAGCTTTAGTCAGTCATTGCCGCTTTATTTATTTTCCATAGAAATCCATTTCCTTCGCGGAAATAGTTGTAGCCGAATAGCCGAAAACATTTTAAGAGAAAATAAACAAAATGGAAGCGAAAAGCAAAAATGAAATATAGTAAAAGAAAAGACAAACACAAATTGAATTAAAACCAACTAATTCTTCTCCGCAAGCTGCGAAATTATTAAATTGGAATCGTCAAAGCTTCCCATCAAAAAACGGTATCAGCGGTTTCAGCAAAAACCTCTCACTATACTAACTTGCAGTTTCAGTGAAAAGCCGACGAGTAGTAATATTTTTTACTTTTTCGGCCAATTTTCGGTTTTATTATCGGATCTTGGCCTTATTATTCTATGGTGAATCTGGTCTTGGGAGGGCCATACCGCCATACCTTCTTGTAAAATCTGTCACTTTGAGTCTTATCAGACATGGTAGATCCCTGTTTTTAGTAGATCTGTTGCTTAATTCTTGTTCTTGCTCTGCTATAATCCGTGCCTCTTAATATAGCTTTTTCCAGCCACTAGTAGGATTTCTCTTGGCACTTTAGGTTCTCGCCAGTTCACGTTTGATGCTATCTTGCTGATGTTTTCCTGAATGCTTCTGGTTTCATTCAAGTCAGTGGCAGTGCTCATCAATCTGCACCTTCCTTCTTTCTTACTGGTATACAGTATTGAGGTATTCAATTCAACTTAGGTTGGAAATTTCTTTGCTTTATGAGCAATTTCATGGTCTTCACATCAGCATCCTCCGTGTGTACTTTTAACTACCATTTCATTATGCTAACTATATAGCGTGGTGGCCAGTTGGAAATACGTGTTTATGGCATGGATTTTATTTTCTCTATTGGACTGAATCTTATTTTTTGGTGATATTTGAACTTTTTATCTTTCTTGCATCATTGTCGTGATTTATTTATTTATTTATTTATTGATAACCAGCCAAGCAGGGCGATAACGCCATGCTTGTATTAATAATAAGAGTTAAGATAACAGAAAAAGAAAACACAAAGAAAAAAAAAAATAAACAAAATTAATTAGAAAAAAATATGATAAAAATTAACAATTTAAAGAGGAAATTACAGATCAATATAATATAGTGCAATTCGAAGTAACATATATAACCTGAAGATAAAATCGAGATTTCTCACTTCCTGCAGTTCTTGCCTGGTGTAAACTCTTCTCTTTTTTTTTGTTATTAAATAATATCGTAAATGATATTATCTAGTCTTTTTTTAAAGAGGGATGACGCACAAGCTACATCGTTCGGTAATTTGTTCCAGTAGTTAATAGTACGAATAAAGAAGTCATGGGTCCTTAGTTTAGTTTTGCATATAGGTTTTAGTAATTTTAAGCCATTAGTTCTTGTTGGATTCAAATTTAGTCTAAAATTATAATATTTCGAGCAGTCTAGTTTAACATAACCATACAGAATCTTATATGTGTAAATTAAATCTTGTTTAATTCTACGAACTGAGAGAGAATCCATGTTATATTGTAGAAGTGTTCTTTTATAATTAAAATTATAATTTTTATTAGGAGAGAGGCGTCGTAGAAAATATTTTTGGAGTCCTTCAATTATTTTACCTGTTTTGCGATGTCTCGGGGAGTAACATGTAGTATTGTAGTCAAGAAGAGGCCGGACGAATGCTTTGTATAATTTGATAAGAAAACTTTCAGTTTTGTTCTTAAACGAACGAAAAATAAAATTTAGTATCTTTGAGGATTTCTTTACTATGGTTCTGCAGTGAAGATCGAATTCGAGATTTTCATCCATGATTATTCCAAGATCGGAGATGTGTGAGACTCTATTGATTAAATTACCATTTATAAAAAGGTTAGGAAGATCAAATCCTTTAGAGTTGATGTGAAGAACGCTACATTTTTGAAAGGAAAGGGTAATTTGCCTGTCGTATAGCCAGTCAGCTATTCTGTTGAGGTCCTCCTGCAGTGGAGATAGGCTATCCGTTCTACCATGAGAATAATAAATTTTACAATCATCAGCATAAAGATAAATAGTAGAATTTATTACCACTGTGGTGATATCATTTATATATAATAGAAATAGCAATGGCTCAATACAACTGCCTTTGGGTGCGCCTGATTTAACAGGTGTCATGTCAGAAAGAGTGTTGTTAACATATACAGCCTGGTAACGATCTTTTATGTAATCTGAAACTATAGAGGTTATAGAGGTTCCCTGTTATGCCATAACTATTAAGAGTGACCAATAATTTGCTATGGGGAACACTATCAAAAGCCTTAGCCAAATCTAGGTACACAACTGATACTATTTTTCCATTGTCAATTGATGCTGACCAATCAGAGAGATTTGCTAACATTTGTGAAGAAGTAGATTTTTTTGTACAAAAGCCATGCTGATAAGAAGATATAAAATTATTGGCATCAAGATAAGTAAGCAATTTGTTGCAAATCAACCTTTCAAGTACCTTGCTACCAACACATGTTAAGGCTAATAGGTCTGTAATTAGAAGCGTCATAGGTGCTTCCTTTTTTATGAATGGGAGCTATATGGGACAATTTCCAAATTTTGGGATTAAGGCCAGACTTCATAATATCTTTATAAATTAAAAATAGGGTAAGATGATTTCCATGTGATTACAGCATAAGACACCTTAAGATACCTGTAGGCAATTTGAATGTCTGCTATGTTCCTCGCTGGAAGTTCTACTACATCAGTTCTAATTTTCACTTCTTACTTACTACCATCCGGCTACACTTCTCTAGAATGACATTAGTAGTCCTCGCTGCAGATTCGAGTGAGCGAGTTCATAATGTCTCGTTCGCTTTTAATGACTTGATACTATCCATTTTAGTGGTAGTTTCGTTCTTGAACCGTTTTCATTCTGTTCGTTTCGTTTATCCGTAAGCGGGGACATGCTTGCTATATGCCGCATTTGTTAGCCTTCGGACATATGTGCTTTTTTCATTTTTTATTATCACATATTTTTCTCATTTAATTTGTTTTTTATTTTATTCTCTTTTATTTTTATTAAGTTTATTGCCATATGTGCTACGTTTTGTTTTTAGTAATGGTGGTATTATTTTTATTTTATGGTGGTTTATTGATATTTAGAGGTTATTTACTTATTCTTACAAAAAAAAAGTAAAAAAAACGTTATATCGAGATTAACGTTATTGGGAATAAATTTAACAAATTATTGGAAACTGTGTATAGGAGAATGATAATGCATTTATTGCTGGCTATTTTTCACTGGTGCTATGCATTTGTGGATCCGAAAGTACGTGCGTTTATTTAATTTTGATCCTTACCTTGTTAATTTTAGGAATGCCAAGGATTATTTCGGCAGATAGCGAATGGAAATCAGTTGCATTTCCTGGTGACATTGTCAGCGACAGAAATTTCCTGTTTTTATCATCTTTTGAAGAAATGAACTTCGGTGGCAGTGAAAAGTTTGTCGAGAGCAATGATAGCAATCAAAAGCAGGTAAATTTTTTTTTAAATTACATGTTGAAAGGATGTGGCTAATATAATAGACTATTATAGGTTATAAAAATATTTTTCATTGGTTTTCTTATGTTCAGTTGATGACGAAATGCCTTTTTTGTTCACCTTTATTTTTGTATTTTTGATTATTTTAATCAGAAAAGAAATTTTTTTGGTGGGGCATTTCCATACTCTTCAACTTCTAGCTTTTCTATTTAAAGATACGGAAAAAATTTGATTGGACCAAGAAAAAAAAGCGTATACGGAAAGAAATTTCAGATTCGAAAAAAGATATTTATTTCAATGATATTTCACTCTGCTGTTGAAGACGAACGTAATATTGCAGAGGCAAATAAATTAAAATTATTCGATAAAATTACTCATTTAAATAGGAATTATAGATGGTTTTTTCTGCTATTCTTTTATTTTTTATTGGATAAAATAATTAAATCGAGATTTTATTTAGGCTTTTAGGTCGTTGAATCAAAAGGGAAGAGATATATTAGACGACAGTAGAAAAACAGCAACTGGCAATTTTATTAAATCACCCAAAAAAAAGAAACGAAAACAATCGGATGGATTTTCACCGAAAAAAAAGAAACGAAAACTGATTAATAAACAACCAGATGGATTTCAGCCAAACAACAGTTCGTTAATTCATTTTCTCTTTTTCAAAAAATTTTTTAATCCATTTTTTATTTTGTATATTTTAAAGTTTTATTTCATGAAATTTTTTATTCACTTTTAGAAGATTGCAAAAATATCTTCAAAAAATTATCAAAATTAAAAATGCAAGTTCAGTCTTTATTTTTAGGTTTTAACGAAGCGATTAATATCCAGTTACCATCGTTTCCCTACAAAAAACATAATTTAATTTCGTGGGACCATTTATTTTTACCTCAAGAAATAATGAAAGGATTGATTGATCTGGAGTAATTTTTAATGAAAGGATTGGTCTTTACTATTGTTAAATTGCTTTAGTGAAGCCTTAATTTTTATTGTAATATTTTAATATTTTTTTTATTTTCTTTTTTTTAAAGTAGGTAAAAGTTTTATGCATGTTTTTCAGATTCAAGAGACCTACTGAAATTCAAAACGCTGTTATCTCTTGTGCAATAAAGGAAAGATGTGATTTGTTAGGAGCAGCGGAAACGGTGTTATTTTTTTAAAAATTTTTAGGTAAAAATAAAATCCAATTTTTGCTTAATTTCAGGGTAGTGGAAAAACTTTTGCATTCGCGATACCTTTGATAACTCGTTTGCTAGAAGAAGGAATAAGCAAAAAGGTTGATAAACCTTTGCTAGGTGGACTGATTTTGGCTCCTACTCGTGAACTTGTTATGCAGATAAAACGACAAATCGATGCTTTATTAAAATTTACCAAATTTAAAGTATTATCCTATTTTTAAGTATAAAGTATTATCTTAATTTCTTGCGTTCTAGAATAAGGAATAAGTTTTAATGATTTCCGCCTTTTGCACAATTTATTTCCGAAGTTGATATTTTTTTTACACTTTAATATTTACTTTTTTTTGACTAATATTGATTATAAATCCTTTATGGGTTTTTCATGCTATACAATTGTTCTATCAATTTTTCTCAATTTTCTTAATTTTCTTGATTTAACTATTATAGATAATTACTATAGTGGGTGGTTTGTCACAACAAAAGCAGGAGCGCTTACTTAGCTATTGTCCAGAAATAATCGTCGCTACGCCTGGACGATTTTGGGCGTTTTTGCAAACTGCTCCGTCTGGTAATCATCTGGAAGATTTTTCCGGCTTGAAATGCTTTGTCATTGATGAGATGGATCGAATGGTTGAAAAGGGTCATTTTGAGGAATTGGCGCTTATCGTTGATTATATAAAACAGTAAGAATTTTTTAAAATTTGATTTAAATATTTTTTTTACTTCACATTTATCTTGTTGCACCTTCATTTTATTTAATGAATTTTGAATACAGAAATTAGCTTTTGCATCGCATTTCTTGTTTATTATATATATCATTCAGTTTATTAAAGGAAAAAGGATGAAAAAATGCAGACATTGGTATTTTCTGCTACTCTTACGTTTGTTCATCCTCCTCCTAAACGTCTTATCTCTCAATCCAAGCATATGACTACGGATGAAAAAATACGTGAGGCTTTTATGTTTTAAATTAGAGAAAAAAAGTGTTTGAGTGAAATGCTTTGATATTATTTTGGTCATAATTGTTTACCAGTTACTAGTGAAGTTCCAGTACAGACATTATGGCTAATATGCTAATATGAGGAAAATTTTTTTAGTTTTGTATGTAGTTCTTCTTCTTCTTCTAACAGTTCGTTACTCGTTAGGCTGGCTCCAACGGCTACAAGGGTAAGACGCTTCCATGCGGCGCGATCTGATGTCATTGATGTCATTGTTAATGGAAGCCATTCCTTTTTCCATCTTCTAAGTATATATATTGCTGGTCCATCTATACGTTCATAATCTTTTTTCACCGTATCAGTCCAGGTCTTGATTGGCCCACCTCGCTTTTGACTCCAACTTTCACACGGCAAATAACGAAATATGCGTCAACTCCTGTGGTGGACGACGGAGAATGTGCCCTAACCAGCGAAGGCGGCGCTCTGTGATAACATTATTTATGGAAGTGGTATTTGAACGAAGATGGATGCGATCTTGTGATATCTTATCCATTCGACGGATCTGTAATATGTACCGTAGACAAGAGTGGTCAAAGGCAGATAACTTCTTAATATCCTCTACTCTCATTGGCCATGTCTCAGAACCATATAGTATGATCGAACGGATCACGGCAATATAGATGCGAACTTTCGTTTTTATGGTGATTTCACGATGATTCCATAAAGATTTCATCAATCAGAAGAACGTATTTCTAGCTTATAATATCATCTTTTGCCTGTCCATTTGGTATTAGAGTGGACCCAAGGTATTTGAAATCAGATACTTCCTCAACCGGCGATGAATTTATAAAAAGAGGCATTTTATCAGCTTTTTGCACTTAAGATGAAAAGACTTTCGTTTTATTTACATTGATCCTGAGTCCGATTCTTGCTGCAATTTCTGATACGTTATTTAGTATTACTTGCATTTCGTTATAACTGACAGCAAAAAAGATTACATCATCAGCGTATTTAAGATCAGTGATACGATGCTCTGGACTAATTCGGATACCTCTTGAATGCCGACAAGCAGTATCCATTATCCAGTCTATCGCATAGTTGAATATTATGGGGGCGCAGCCCTGACGGACATCTGTTCTTATTTCGAAGAAATCTGTCAACTCCCCATATACGCAGACCTGTGCCGACGTGCGGTCATAAAATGCCTTTGTATATAGTTAATTTATATAGTTAAAACTATATAAATTATATATAAACTATTTACATTATGTTAGAGTGATATATGTTATTAATATATATTGTTATCATTATTGTGTACTATAAATACATCGTAATTATCATTCCGCATTATTCCACCGTTATTTTTTCAGAACAGTTAGCTGCTTTTGCTGCATTGCGTAAAAATTATAAAACTATTGATTTAACACGTTCATTTGGAACAGCAGAAAGACTAGTGGAAGCAAAAATTAATTGTGCAAATCTCCTTGAAAAGGTATCTTGTTGAGATTTCATTTGAATATCGGAATTGTTCATCACATATAAGATCTAATCTATATATTCTTTTTGTTATTTCTTTGTTATTTTGTTATTTCTGTATTATTTATTATTGTTTTTATCCTTGTAATTGAATTTTGTAGGATACTGCTGTATTATATTTGTTAAAACGATATATTGGCAGAACTCTCTTGTTTATTAATTCAATTGATGCTGCAAGAAGATTACATGGGATCCTTAAAAAAGTTTGTTTGCATTTTTATCCACCATTAAACTCTTAACTTAATTTATCAAGGGCGGATTTTTTCCATATTTTCTTTTTTGTTTTCTTTAGTTTGGCATTAAACCTGAGCCACTGATGTTGCATGCTAAAATGATCCAAAAGCAGCGATTGAAAAATCTTGAAAAATTTGCAGGTGATATATCTTTGATTTTTTATGCATCTCTCCATTCTTTCATTTTCTTTATGAATATTATTATTTATTACTAAATTTGACTTTATTGTTTTATTTATGATTTCCATTTCATTGCATTTTTATACTGCATTTATACAACGGTCGTTTTCAAAAATTCAATCATTATTTAAAATCATCATTAATTTCGAAGTAATTTTTTCAGCAACAGAAAATTCAGTTCTATTGGCCACTGATGTTGCTGCTCGAGGTTTAGATGTGCAGAATGTTGAACATGTTATACATTATCAAATCCCAAAAACTGCTGAGGTACTCTTATTATGGTTATAAACCTATTGTGTCTAGGTGAATTTAATTTTTCCAATTGTAAAATTGCCTACCAATAGCCAACCGTATTCCTTTATTGCTTTATTTTTATCTCTATGAATGTATCGATATAATTTTTTTTTTCTCCGTCTTTTTATTTCTTTTAAATAACAATTAATTAGTTTGTGAATTTCATATTTTTAAGCTTTATATCCATCGGTCTGGGCGAACTGCTCGTGCTTCGCATAGAGGACTCACCATTCTTTTAGTGGATTTATTAGATGTACAATTTTACCGAAGGATTTGTCAAAATCTTAACCGAGGTGAGCTTATTTAATTTTTTATATAACTTAACAGTTCGACTTATTACATAACTTTTAATTAAGGGAAATATCCTAAAAATTTTCCATTTTAAATATTATTATTATTTTGCCATAATATTTTATTAGTTTTTGGTTTTTGCCATGTTATTCGAGAATTTTTTACAAAACTTTTCAGAAAAAGATTTATCAATATTTCCAATTGATTCGCAAAATTTATACAGTGCTTTAAAGGAACGTGTTGGGGTTGCCACTGATTTAGAATCTGTTGAATATCGTATAAAAAAGGTATTCTGAAATTTTTATTTCATTGCATTTTTATACTGCATTTATACATGAGACAACGGTCGTTTTCAAAAATTCATTCCATAAAAAAATGTTATTAGAATCGGTTTAATTATTTTTTATTTATGAAGAAACTTATTATTATTTTATTTAATTTCAAGATCTTGTCAAAGGAATCTTGGTTTCAAAAAGCGGCTCATGAAGCAGATTTATTATTGGATGCAAGGTTTACCGTATTTTCAAAAATTATTTTCAAAAATTTGATAATGACTGTTACTTTAAGTTTAAGAATCAAAAGCAGTTCGTATGATGAGTTAGAAACATTACGAAATCGAAAAATTAAACTCGAGTCTCAGCTGAAGAATCTTCTTAATATGCCGCTTCCAGATTCTAACAAAGATGGTTTAAAGGTAAACAAGTACTTTATTTCCTAGAAAATATTCCATTGAAGTTTTTATTTCATTTTAATTTCAACTTTCAGAAGTCACTTTACGTCACTCCAGAAATGATATCGCAGTATGATTCGATAAAAAGTCGGCAAGCATTGCACTCGATTGAAGAAGGAAGTCATCAAAACACGAAAAAATTTTTAAAAATTGGAAGATTACGATTTCATAGAAAAGATGATAGAAAATGTCGAGTAAAATTGAAACGCAAATAATTTTCTATAAATTCCTTGCTTAAATAAAATATTTATAATTCCACAATAATTTTAGAAAATAGACTTTCCAACTTTTTTCAAATTTTTTAGTTAAAAACAAGGAGTTGAGAAAAAAATTCATTCGTCTGTTTTTTACTTACGACTTATCACTAATGTTTTAATATATTTTATATTTTATATTTTTTGTATTTTTTTTCGTCAATCTATTAAAGCATTAAATCATTTTAGTGGACTATTAACTGATTAACGGTTGTTAAGCCAAGAAAATAAAATTACTATAATTCTAAACAAATTGTAATTATATTTTATTAAAGTTGGAAACTTAATAAAGCGTTGTTGCTTATTTTCGCTATTTTTTAATAAATTAGGCTTACTTGCCTAAAGTTTGTATTTATATGACAAGTATCTTAGTGAAAAAGATTAGAAAAGAATGAATTTTCCTTAGAGTTACAAAGAAAAACATTATTTTAAAAAACATCAAAGAATACCGATGTCTTTATGATACATTGATTTGATTTAAAATTTGTCTCTGAATGCAATTTGTCTTTATGGTTGAGCGAGCAATATTGGCAGTTACATTTATATATTTTGGTGCACGCTGTGCCTTCATTTTCGAACTGAAAAGGAGATTGCCCATCTTGGTTAGTTTTCTGATCATGCATTTTCATTTGCATGGAAAAAGTTTATGTAATTTAGGAGCGGATAGTTGTTGTTGTGGCCATAAGTTCAGACATTATGGGTTCAATTCCTGTTCTTTGATACAGGTAAATTTCGTCATTAAAAATAAAATCTGGGTAATTATGAAATCTCCTCCTGTCGTTCCATACTTTCTACGCAGTTAATGGGACGAAAAATTGTGAGCTTGAAGAATTCTATATAACTCTATATTAGAAGTGAATCTCCCTTAAAAGTTTTTAACAGTTGTTAAGCACACTGGTCGATGATTTCACCTACTAAATTATGATTTTCTTGATAACACTTGGAAAACTTAATAATTTCCAAATTACTAGGACTGAAATATTTGCTAAATTTTGGCATTACTAATGGTTTAAGAAATAAATCGTAATCATCTTCAAGTACATTTGTAAAATCCATAGAATATTAATAATAAGGGATACTAATTGCTTATAATTAGTGATTTAATGATTGTGATAATCTGGATTATCCTTGGACAGCTTTTATTTTATATTTCAATTTTATCTTGATCACATTTGTACTGCTGTTAGCATTAACGTCTATTTATGTTTTATCTTTCACAATTACTGGTTATTCGCATATCTTTTGGCAAAATCTCCTCTCTCTTATATTGTTGTGTCTAATGGACAATGACCAACACCAATTTGCCTTTGTTCCCATGCTATTTCCCATTCCATCTATAACATCAGCTCATTTTCGTGATAAATAAAGGCATCATTTTTCTTTTTGGCCATCGTATTAACTCGTTGATCGTCTAACGATCCCAGTAAGGCGATTTATAGCGTATATAAAAAATATTTTTTTCAGGAATGATTGGCCGAAAATTTTCTGTCGTATATTTTTTTAAGAATCGTTTTTTGTCATTCAAATTATTAGTTACCTTCTGTTTAAAGTATTTCTGAGAGATCTGAGCCAGTTTATGATAGAAACAGTGGTTTGGTATAGAAGAAATGAAAAAAATAAGAGTTCAGAAACGTGAAAGACCTTTATAAAGACAAGGCAGGTTTAAATATCATTTAATGAGATTACTGGTATATTCTCTGCTGTGCTATTATCTTTCTTCAGTTTATCAGTTATGAGAGGTAACGTAACGTTTCGCTCGGCGATAGAATCTCATCCAGTAACGGAGGACGAGAAATGGTGACATACCGTTTTGGAAAAAGGACATACCGTTTGCCGTTTTTCGTCGCTATTTTCACATCGTCGTTGACGCATTGTTCAGATAGGAAAATTAATTTATGTGGGCGTACGTATTATAGTGCCTTCTTTTATTATCATTTTTCTCTTTTTTACGATTCGATTTAATTATTCGATTTTGTTTCGTTTTTTTCTTCATTTCTTCTCTCTTGTTGCACATTAAATGAAAAATCCGTAGAAGTAAAATCGAGTTGGTTTAGCTTCGCTTCTCGTTCCTCCTCGTTCGCTTTGAAAATTTTCTCTTCCTTTATATTTCTTTCTCTGGTATTTTCTTCTTTTTTCGTGGATTTTTTAAAAGGTTTTTTAAAAAATTACACAAATAAATTATCAGTTAATATTATTATTAATTTATTAATAATTAATAATTTTAATTTATTAATTTTTTTTTAGATTATAAAAAATTTGACAAATTTTTGCCCCAATTTTTTGTGCTTTGAAACTTATTACTTTCATGGTCATCGGAAGGGGTTTTTTTCCACTTGATTTAATTATAGCAAGTTTTTTTCTTCTATAATTTTATTTTAAAAAGCTTTGCAGAATTTTTTGTTTCGGAATATTTGGTAAATTATCGCTAAACTTCTTCTTTCTTCTTCTAACAGTTTTCACCATTACTGATTAGGCTGGCTCTAACCGCCGTTCCTTTTTCCATCGTCTAAGTCCATATATTGCTGGTCCACCTATAGGTTCAAAATCTTTTCTGACTGTATCAGTCCAGGTATTAATTGGCCCACGTCGTTTTTGATGCCATCCGGCTCCATAAAGATTTAGCAAATAACGAAATATTCATAAAGATTTAGCAAATAACGAAATCAGTTCCTGTGGTTGACGACGGAGAACGTGCCCTAACCAGCGAAGAACCCACATGCTTATTAAATTTTTTAAATTTTATAAAATAGTGGTGATTAAGGTGATTATAATAATATATTATAATAATATATTTGATATGTACTCAGTTGATTCAGTAAAGATGTTTTGCATGAAGATATTTGTTAAAGCGTTTATGTGATGTGATATTAGTGTTCAAAATTATTACTTAATGTAAATATTATAATATAATATTAATATAATATAAATAGTTTGAATATAATGCGGGATAAATTTAAAATTTTTATCTTGATTAACCAAAAAATATTGGCCTAAGAGAATCTTTGGGAAATCATAAATTCATCTTATCTGCTTACCTGCTTGGTTAGTCTTTTAACCCCTTTTTTTAAGTTTTTATATTTTATATGTATATATCTTTTTTTAAGTTTTATATTATAGTTTTTATATTATCTATGTGCCACCACTTTCATTTTTTTAATGGATATTTGCGATAATGAAGTTATTTGCTGGATTAAATTATTATGGCATCAAAATAAAATCATACTAATAGTAATAGTAATCATACATACTAATAGTGAGTAACGTTGATTATTGCCTTTAGTTCCACAAATTTCATAGAATCGTCATCACAAGATTTATTAGCCATTATTATAATTATAAAAATAAATTAGCATAGTATATATTAACCATATTATTGATTTATTTATAAAATGAACAGCTGTTGTTTTAAGTATTATATTTATATTTTTATGTTGGTTTTAAGATGATTAAGTTCGTCATTTATAATTTCGATAATATAGTAATTTCGATAAGGTAACAGCCAGTTCAAATCAAATTCATTAAGAGCGACTATTTTATTTTTTGGATGGAATTTTCATATTCAGATTTTATTGCTTTCTGTAGTTTTTATGCGCCTTTATTTTTTTAAATGCAATATTTATTTGGTTTTTGTTAGAATTTGTTGAATTTTTTTACAATTTAAAATTTTTGCAAAGTGTTCGTAAGGAATTTATCTGATCTTGATGAATAGTAAATTGGAAAAAACCAGTTTGATAGATCTATTTGTATTATATCGACCGTAGCGGATTGTTCAAGCATATTTTCATAAGAAAATAAAATTTTTTCGCAAGTTTCTTTTGGTTTTTCGATATTTTTAGAATGATTATTTGGAAAATTTATTGTTGATAATTGTTTCATTTTATTACTTAGTTGTGTAGAACATAATTCATCCTCTATATTTGTATATTTATAGACTATAAATTTCATGAAAAAATGTTATCTTATGCGACCATTTTTAATTTAACAAAATTTTATTTAATTAGTTTTTTCAGATATTTTTATCAGATTTTCTTAATGAATGGCTGAAAAATTGCTGAATGAATTGGCAAAAAAATGTCATTTTGTGATTTGTATGAGAGTTGTTTCAAGAGCATTTCGATTATACGAATCGTCGATTCGAATAAAGGTTTAATATATCCAATTCATTATTCAATAAATTATTTTGACTATTCCAAATTATTTTTGGTCACTTTTTTTAAATTGAATTTTATTTACACCTTCATCATTCGCTAAATCTTATGTGATTGGTCTGTGAAGAATTTGATTTCATGTCCTTGGTGCTTTTTTTGCTGTCTTTTTTTGTCTCAGTTTTTAAAACTATTATTCATTTGATGGCTAACTGATTTTGATTTTGTTTGATAGGTTTATTGCTGGCTTTTACTGAACGAAAATAATTTTTTTTTTAAATAAAGATTTGAACAATTCTGATGATGGCGAGCTAACAGTTCTCGATAATGTGATTTCCACTTCTAAATATATTTTATTTTACTTGCTAAGTGCGAATAGTGAACGTGCCAAAGAATTGGTCTTACCAATTAAACAATTCCTACAGTGTCGTCAGGAAAATGGAACCACTAACAACACGAAAAGGTTTTTTTAGTTTTTTAACAAGAATTAAGGCAGAGTTTTTCCTAAGAAATTCATAATGATAATAGTAAAAGAATCTTTTATAAAGAAATTTGAGAAAAAATTCTTTAAAAAACGAGTGAAGTCGATGTTATATTTTATTAGAATCAAAGGAATGAACACTATTAACTTGAGCTATCCATTTTACTTGACTGATCTCTTTCATCTCATTAATTTCTTCTGCAATTGTTTGTTTAGCCAAATAATTTAAAGGATTTTTTGTCTAAATAAGTTAGGTCTAAGCTTTGCATTTCAAGCTTTGCTTTGCTGAAAATTCAATTTGCTAAGCTGAAAATTGAAAATTTTCCTTCTCTGATTTAATTGATTTGGCATTGAGAAATCGTCAAATATTCAGTTCAAAAATTTTTATGACGCCGTTGAAATTATGGAATCCGACATAATACGACATACAGCCATAAGTTGTTTATGAATTCCACAAAAATTTTTGTTTAGGTTGAATTTTATAATAATTACTTATAAAATCAATTCATAAAAATTGGTAATATACAGGAATTTTTCCAAATGAAACCTTAATGCATATCGTAAATGATATTTTAAGCCTTGTCAGTTAGTCTTGATTGATATCTAAAAAAAAAAAATGCTAGAATTTTTTTTTTTACTTTTCAGCCCACCAACTCGACTTCGCCGATTTTTTGGAGTTGGAAAGAAAAAGCATAAAAAGATGAAGACAGTTGAGGAACAAAAAGAGATTTCGGTTATTATTTTTGATGTTGATTCGAGTGATGATAATCAACAACAAGTGATTGATGAATGCGGATGGTATATACTCGCACCAATGAGTCCTATGACGAAGGTTTTATATGATTAGTTTATTACTTAGAAGTACTATGGACGTTTTCGGAGAGTGAGAAAAATTTTTTCTGAAACCATTTTGACTAATTTTCTTACCAAGAGCAATCTTGAATCTCGAATATTTTAGCGGTTGAGATTTACTAAATTTCGTCACAATTATATATATCTTTTTAGAAATCTAAATTTGCTTATGAATGATCTATCATATTTGAAACTGAGTTGGGAAATGAACTGTAATTTTTAGAATTTGCCTTTCTTAAAAAAAAGTCTTTAAAATCATTGGATTTTTTTGGACTTATTAGATTTTTGATAGTAAATTTTGTGGTTTAATCATTAGCGACCATATATCAAATTGCACTTTAATGAAATTTAGTGAAATTTTAGAGTCGATTTTTACGAGCTTTACGATATTGTTCAACTCCTTCTTTGATTGTTGTTGATAGCACTAGCAGGCAAATTATAACAACAGATGGGCGACGATTATTACAAGAGGATTCGAAGGGAAATAATTTTCCATGGTAAGTCATTGTGTTTTTGTGTGATTTTTACGATTCTAAAGATTTAATATTATCCGAAATTTTTGTTTTTTTGAATTTTATAAATACCTCTTTGTAAATTTTTCTACACATTTTTCTGTTATTATGTTTAATATAATATTTTTATATTTAATTTTTTCAAATTTTTATAATTGTTTTACGAAAGATTTAATGTTTATCCATTTTATCATTTGAAAAAGTCCTGTTAGGTTTATTTGGTAAATAATAAATAATACTTTGTAAATAATACTTATGCTGCATTTATTGTACTGTAGTAAAACTGTTAGCTGCAATAAATATCCATTCGCGATTCTTAATCTGAAGTCAAGGCAAAATGTTGTTCTATGAATATAAATTTAAGTATAGGTGACAGAATTGTATATAGTATCATAAGCTACGCATTTGTTTTTTTTCAGATTTCAGAATAAATAAATTTCATTTTTTTGTTTTTTATTCTGACTAATTAGGAAAATTTCAAATTATTTTATTCAAGTTCTTCATTTTCATTTTTTTTATATTTAATTTTTTCAAATTTTTATACTTGTTTTATGAAAAATTTAATATTTCCTTATTATTTATAGATTGAATGCATGGAAATGGTTTTAAGATTTATGTTTAAGGTGGAATCCAACAGCTGATGAACTTTTTCAAGGAACTGTATTGAAAAATGTTATTGAGACTGATGGTTCGAGGAATGTCTCTAAGATAGAATATAAAGATTTGGAACCAGTAGTGAAAGGCATCTACTTCGGTGCATTTTGGGTAAGTTTCGAGTTTAAAAGGAATTTAAAAGAACGCAAAATTTTTTGACAAATAACTTATTTGAATTCTGAAAAATTAATTGCTTTTAGTTTTCATTGTTTCCTATAATTTTTAAAATGTTCAAAAAGTAGCCTTTGTTCTGAATTTTGTAGTTTAAGATATAAAAAAAAAAATATTCTCTGGGTTTCTTAAAGATTTTTTGAGAAATATTTCAGTGTCCGCCATGCCGTATGTTCACAAGGCAGTTGCTATCTTGCTATGAAAGTCTTAAAGCTGCCAGTATACCCTTTGAAATATTTTTTTGCTCATTTGACAGGCAAGTTATCAAATTTTTCCTTTTGTAATATATTTTTTCATCTTTTTTTAAATCCAGGATATCTTTTTTTACCGATATCTGCCAGTCGACACCTCAAAAGTTCGAATTAAAAGGTTACTAAGGAAGAAAGTTTAGAAATATTTTAAAACTTCAGTCGATTTCAGATCAAGAGAGTCATTCGATCAGCATTTCTCAACAATGCCTTGGCTAGCTTTTGATTTTAATCCCAGTAAACTAACGTTGTTCACTCGATTATATAATGTTAACGGTTTGTTTTCTTCGTATAATTTATAACTTTAACTTTTTATAAGTTATATTATTACCGTATAATTTTATGTTAATTTCAAATTTCATTTCAATAGTAATAAAATAGTTACTACTTACTACTTCAATAGTTACTACTTTTTATTACGGCTGCTACAGTAAATTTTTTTAGAATCTTTTCTTCTGAAATGATTTTGAAGATTATTTAGGTATTCCTGCACTTCTCATACTTGATGAGAAGAATTGCGTTATAACAAGGCATGGGCGAAATTCAATGTTAAACGATCCGCAAGGAAAGAATTTTCCATGGGGTCCCCAGTCAATTTATGAATTAAATGAATATACTTTATGTCGATTGAGAGATGAACCATCTTTAATACTTTTTACTGGTATTTTTTTGGTTTTTTGAATCATTTATCAGTGGTTAATCTTGATTCAGCTACCAAATGTTATAAAAATTTCTTAATCCTATTACTCTAATGAAATCTTCTATAAAGCTTTTTTTATAGAAGATTTAAATCTAAGATAAATGTTTATATTAGCGAAAATTATTCTGATGAGTTACTTCACTATTTTATATATTTAACCTGTTTTAATTTTATTTCAGAGGGCTCACCAGAAGATGTTAATTTTTCCATAGAAGTTTTAAAATTAACTGCAGAGGCTTTGTATGCAGAGCGAAATGAATCTCTGAAAAGGTCAGCATCAAAAGATAACGAAAGTCAAGATGAAAATGGTGATGGTAGCGATTCTGCCAATTTTACTCATTCAAGTAATTCCGTTGAAAGGTTTTTTTTTTAATTTGGAAAGTTTCATAAATTTTTCAGTAAATAAGTTAAGGATATTAGTTTTTGATTTATGTATGTTCATGCTAATTGGGTTTAAATTTTTTTGCCGACGTTTTATTGTAATAATTTTGCAGTGTGGCCTCATCTGATATTGGCTTACCTTTATGGTCTGATCCTCTGCAGATGTTTTACACTGGAGACGATCCAGTGTGCGATCTAATTCTAGAAGGGCTCGGGCTAGCCGATGCAGAATTGCCATTGATTATAATAGTTGATGTAATTGTAAGTCGTATGGTTATATGTACCAAACCAGATGTAAGCTCTGAAATTGTTGCAAATTTTGTGGCTGATTACAGAGGAGGAAAGTTAGAAATGGTACCATTACCATCATCTTGTCAGGTGAATTGTAATTCTTATAATTTTTTTAAGGCTATATATAATCGAAGTATTTACTGAACATTTTTAGTCTTCTCCTCTTCAAGTTGGTGGCATTCCTATTCGAGCGATTCATCAGGCTCTTGGTATTGGTAATTCGCCATCGCAGAATTCTATAAACAATGAAAATACTTCAGTACAAGTTATATAGATTGTTCAAGTTTCTGTAATTTCTAGGAATGTTTTTCTAGGAATGTAAAATAAAAAAGATTTTTGGGAAAATTCAAGCAAAAATAGAATATTGTCCTGAAAAAAAAGACTTCTAGTTATATAGGTTAGAGACGATTAGATGTTTTGCAAATTTGAGGCATTTTATCGATGTATAGGTAGGAAAAAAACAAAAATTGTTTGCTGTAAAGGCGAAGACTTTAGAAAAAACAGTGGATAAACTTTTGTTAAAATGGTGAAAAAAGTATGATTTGGTCGATTTTTTTAATTTAATTCCTCGGCATTTAATTGCATTCTGTTATTGGTTTTTGTTTTTCTGTGATCTTAAACCAGACCAAATGCTTTGCAAATTTGAGGCATTTAAAATATCATTTTATGTGCCGCTCACGCACATCTCAACAGGTAAATTTAAAAGAAAAAAAAAAGCGATTGCTAAATTTCTCTTTGTTTATGTTACTGTTATCGTTGTAAACATTGTTATACGTTTTTTTAAAATCGCTTTCATATTTTTCGTTGTTAATTTCTTTTTTCAGGTTTGCCAGTTCTTGTTGCTTACCTGTTAATTTCTAAAATTATTATTTTTGTTTTAATGGATTTGTTTTGTTCTTTGCCGATTGCTTACATAACAAATTTTATTTATATTTTGAATCATCTCGGAAATTTTTGTCGATATATTCAATGAAACAACATATATATATATATATGATTTTATGAATATATAATATGTACAATAGGATATGATTCTTGCATTTATAATTGTAACTATGAATTTGTATTTGTTTATTTGTTGATGTTGGAAGCAATATTGACAATGCTGATTAACAATCACATTTTTGCATAAATTTTACTCGAAATTGGTCGTCGTTCTTTTCATGCTGTTTCATTGCGAAAATATGACACTTTTTTTCGGCTGTTGCGTATTAAGCGCAATAATGAGTATTAAATTATGAGATAATGAGAAATGCAGGGCAGTAATCGCAATTTGAATGGAAAAACGATGAAATAGGTTCGTTAGGCGAATTTAGTTTCGGATCTCGCGAAAAAATTTTTCTTGTCTATTTTTCTATTTTTATTTTTTACGACATTCTTTATTAAAATGCAAATGCAAAAAAAAAAATAAATGCACTTGGATTTTATCATTAATTTATCAAAAATCATTTGCCGTTTCTTTTTCTTCAGTGTGGGCAGTTCTCTATTTCTGTTTACAAAGAGCCTAAGCATCCTTTTTTTCATAGAATTGTTTTAAAGAGTTGTTTTACTGCCCGAGTTTTTTTTTTGTCATTTAGATTGGTTTTAAATTCAGTTAAATTTTAATTAAATTTGCTTGGAAGTATTTGAAGATGAGGGAAATTTTATTTATTCATATTTGCATTAGAATAATTATAAAATAAAAAGTTGATTGCGTTTTATTTTAGAATAATGAAAAAATTTAATTAAAATTTGATGGTTTCTTTTTGCTTGGATTTCCAAAAATATTTGAAAGTGAAATGAGAAATTCAACTTCGATCGTCCTTGAAATTACAAACAAGCTTAACTAAATAGGATTCATTTTGCCAATAATTGCCAATTGCCAATTTTAAACTAATGAAAATGCAAATCTTCAATTTATAGCTTCACAGAATTGTTTTAGAACGAAAAGAAGCAATGTGCGATGTGCCGATTGCGAAAAAAATCATAAAGTAAGTGACTAAAAGCAACTGAAAGGCGAAATAAAATGGTTGCGAATTTAGAAGCGATTGTGGTTGTGAGTTGCATTGTAAAGTTTAATCCCATTTTCTGAAGAAGTAATTTATTTTGAAGGCGTTTAAACGAAAATCGCCTCCAGAAATCGGCTGATGTTATTGTATTATTCGATAATTACTCGGCCATTCTTTACATAAATCTTAAGTAATTTCATCACTTCTCATGTAATTTTAATTCTCTTGTAATTCTCTTCTAGTGATTCCATGAATTTCATAGCTTGGAAATTTAAAGTGAAGAATCACATTTTTCTCGGTGAATTTAATGCAATTTGAATTCTCATAACGACAAAACTGTGCATCCATCTCTGTTTTACGCCTCAAGTGACTCTTTGTGGAAGAGGTTCCACAATAATAGCCAATGAAACCAACAGAGTCAGAAATATACGCCATTCTTCTTCTAACAGCCCTCACCATTACTAGTTAGGCTGGCTCCAACAGCTATAAGAGTAAGATGCTTCCAAACGGCGCTGATGCATCGTCGACAGTAATAAAAGCCATTCATTCACACGTAAGTCCATATATTGCTGATCCACCTATACGTTCAAAATCTTTTCTGACCGTGTCAGTCCAGGTCTTGATTGGCCCACCTCGCTTTTGATGCTATCCATCACACAGTTTAGCAAGTAACGTAATGTGAGACAACTCCTGTGGTGGATGATGGAGAACGTGCCCTAACCAGTGAAGGCGACGCTCTATGATAACATTACGTATGCAAGTGGTATTTGAACGAAGGTAGATGCGACCATGTGATATCTTATCAGCTCTACGGCGAATATGTATTTAGATAAGAGTGGTCAAAGGCAGATAACTTCTTAATATCCTCTACTCTCATTGGCCATGTCTCAGAACCATATAGTATGATCGAACGGATCACGGCAATATAGATGCGAACTTTCGTTTTTATGGTGATTTCACGATGATTCCATAAAGATTTCATCAACCTGAGAACGCATTTCTAGCTTATAATATCTTCTTTTGCCTGTCCATTTGGTATTAGAGTCGACCCAAGGTATTTAAAGTCGGGCACTTCCTCAACCAGCAATGAATTTACAAAAAGAGGCATTTTACAGCTTTTTAAACGTAAAACGAAAAGACTTTTTGCTGCAGTTTCTGGCACATTATTTAGCATTACTTGCATTTGTCATAACTGCCAGCAAAAAGGACTATATTATCAGCGTATTCAAGATTTGTGATATGATGCTCTGGACTGATTTGGACACCTCTTGAGTGCCGGCAAACGGTGTCCATTACCCAGTCTATCGCATAGTTGAATATTGTAGGGGAAAGGACGCAGTCTTGACGGACACCAGTTCTTATTTCGAAGGAGTCTGTCAGTTCCCCATATACACAGACATACGCTGACGTACATAAAATGCCTTTATGAGTCGAATGATCTTCTCTGAAACACCATCGCATTCCATCATCCTCCAAAGCGCCTCTCTATCAATTAAATCAAATGCAGCCGCAAAGTTGATAAACACGTGATAGTAGGTTGCAAATATCTGAAGCGATGTTTCAACATACTTAACGTGAATATCTGGTCAGTACAACCGCGCCCCGTTCTAAATCCAGCTTGATTAGGGCGCCCCTGCTGCCTCGTACTTCCATAAGTCTGTTGAGTAAAAAGAGAAGCAAAAATTTTCGCTGAAACGTCTAGTAGGCTGATTCCTCGATAATTGTCGCAGTATGTCCTATAACCTTTCTTGAGAATTGGGAACAGAATTGCTTTGCTCCAATCATCTGGTAATATTTTTTTTTTCCATACTAAAGTGTACATTTGTTGAAGGTGTGTTATGAAGTACGATGGACAACATTTAAAGAGTTCAGATCAAATATCAACTTCTCCCGAAGCCTTATTGGCCTTAAACTTATGGATAATAGATATAGATTATTTCTTCTTCTGTCGAGGACCCGCATTTGCAGACATATAGTTCAGTAAACGTATCAGTTATATCAGGGACAACAGATGGTTCTTCATGGTTAAGTTTGGTTTCAAAGAATTCTTTCCATCATATGAGGCGGTCCTCAATACTCTTGCAAATATCTGAAACGATGTTCCAACACTCTTGATTTGCACGCCATTGCTGTCCCTTACCATTTCACTGATCGTTCCCGAATTATAGTTGTTTTATGAAGAAGGCGGAATAGTTTTCTATTATCGCTTTATCGATCCGCCCTCTCCATTCTCAAGGCCATGTCACTCCAATAGTGATTTTTGTCCCGTCGATGCAAATCTTCAAGGAATCCGGTAGTCAGGATTACCTGATATTCGTGATTTGGCAGCTTTTTCGGACAGTTGGACAGTTGCTTCCGATATGCAACTAGCACACTCCTTACTAGTATACCTAGCGTGGAAGTGGCTGATTTTCGGAATTCGGACCAATTCATTTGCCGTTCCAGAAAAGTCATTGATATTTGATATTATTATCATTTGATATCATTGATATTATTGAGATGCTTCAATAATTCAGTTTGAAATGCGCTCAGTGCCCCCGAATTTTTCAGTTTGGGATAATTGAAGGATCTTGGGGGATATTTTCTTCGAGTTGTCAGTTTTATGCGGAACCACAACATGGTCAGATCCATGAAGATTGCCTGTTCCAGCGCCGCGGTAGTACTATCTAGTACGGAACTCTTCCAACGGTGATTGACTAATAATCAATCTATTTGAAGTGTTGGTTATCCGAGGAATTTCACGTGACTAGATATTTTCTATGATGCCGGAAGCAAGTATTAGTAATAAAAAGTTCATACTCTTGGCATAACGAAGAAGGCATTCTCCATTGGCGCACCGGTCTCCGATGCCACATTTGCCAATTGTAGAGGTCATCGCAGCGGCATTATGACCTATGCGTGCATTCCAGTCTCCCCCGACTATGACCATGTCATGTTTTGGTAGAGACTTTGTTAGCAGTTGAAGTTCCGCATAGAACTTATCTTTATCACGGTCATATGCCGACAGAGTTGGAGCAGACACTGATGAAATATTGCAGAACCCTTACCCTTAAAACGTCATAGGCCATATGGTCGCTTACCGGTTTCCATTCAATCAAAACGAAATGGGCTTTGTCAGACATGACAATCGCTACGCCATTTCGCCACGAGTTAGCCGAAGCATTACAGTGATATAGCCAGTACCTTTGCTCCGAGCCAGGATTAATAATCACTCGAGACCCGAAATAAGGAAGACGCATCTCCGACAAGCAAGCGATATCCACACGATATTTAGAAATTGTGTGGACGATGATCGCTTGGCTTGCGAGGTCCATAAGCGTACTGACGTTCCACGCTGATACGGCTTAAACCTTGCCATGCGAAATGGCGACGCGTGCAGAGAGCTGTTCCCCTTGATAGGTTTCGAGCAATTACTCCGGCTTGCGAGCACATTTTATTTACTTATTTTATAAGCCCTGGGATCGCTTTTAACCCGAATTTTGCACTTATCGCATGTACCACCGGAAGTATTATGCGCATCGGAAGGCGCGGACGCCTTATCAAAAATATCTGGTCCCTTCACAATAGGGGATAAAGATACAGGTGGGTCCCCAGCAAGCACCCGGATTTTTACTCCTGCCGAAGGCAAAAAAAATTAAATTTAAAGAAAATAATAAATTCGAATAAATTCTAGTAAATAATAAATTCGAATAATAAAATAGAAAATGAAATTTTAAAAAAATAAAAAAAATAAAAATAAAAAGGCAATTAAAATTAAAAAATATATAACTATATATATATTATATATTATATATATTATATATTATATATATATATATATAATATTATTATAATATTATTATTTATACAATTTAATTGATTTGATTTATAATTTATTTGATTTAATTTTAATTTATTTTATTTTAATCATTGTTTGGTAAAAAAAAATTAAAAGTTTAAGAAGACTTATCTGAATTGTGTTCAAAAATGAGAAATAAATTCACAGAAATAAATAGAGAAAATTTTTTGAAACGACCGCTCCGCAAAAAAATTTTTGAAAAAAAAATAGGCAATGAAGCCAACAGATTCAGAAATATAAGCTATTAGAAGAAAAAGAAATCCTCAGAATTCGGAAACATAAGAAAACATAAGTAAAAACATTCTAAAGAAACATTCTATTGAAAGTGGAAGTAATGGTGATGATTTCAGAGACATATGTCGGTCAGTCTTTAAGCCGTCAAGCATATTTGTTTAACTCGAATATGGCCTTAATCTATGCGCTTGATCTTCTTCTTCTCACCATCACTGCTTAGGTTGGCTCCACTGGCTACAAGGGTAAGGCGTTTCTAAGCAGCGCGGTCTGACGCCGCCATCGTGCACTCGGCGAAGCAAAAATAAAATTAATAACAAAAAGTGGCATAAAAAAATTTGCCAATGATGAGGAGTGAGGGTATTATACATGGTATATTTAAAACTATAGGAGCAAATTACATCGGCAAATAAATTATTCCAGTAGACTAAAAGAAAAAGCTTCCGGGATAAAAATTTTGTGAATAGGTTTGCAATCGACTGCCCTTTGATGCAGTGAAATTTAAATAATTCATAATACTTATTAGAATAGCGACCAACGAAAATAAAGATTCAGAAATCATATACCGTCCTAGTTTAATCCCTCTGAGCCCGTTGAACCCAAGTTGTGCCTCGTAGATTATCTCTATAAATGGTTAAATCAAATTCAAGCAGTGAGAAAAATACTTTTTAAAGCCTTTCAAATATTTCTTATGAAATCTGGGAAAAATCTAACAACAGACTGCGTTGCACCTTTCCTAAATGTGGATAAGAGCGAAATCTTTATGTGTCTTGGCGAGAAAAGTTTTTAGTCGCACTTTTCGTAAATTGCGTCCACATTTCAGGTGGCTGGGACGGCGACTGGGACTTTTGTTGGAGTTTAAATATGGAAAAATATGGATGTGCGCAAATCATTCATCGCGGCTGCGCTCCTATAAAAGAGGAAGAATCTTTCCGATTCCATCCATAACGGATTCTTTTCTTTGTTTGCTGCAATCGATTTCCTTTTTTTGTGGGTCGAAGCTTTGAGGCTTTTTTCGATTATACAAATCCGTTTTTATCCAAATTTTCCATAGATTTCCCCCGAAAACTAATCGACACTCACACTCATCCACACTCGATGGACGCAATGCAGGAAGAAAGTATTTTAATCAATATCGACCTAATGTGACTTGCGCCGACTAATGAGAGTTTTCCAGAAATATGGAGAAAATATCCTTTCCAGTTGTTATATGGCTCGATGCTTTTTTTTTGCCAAAAAACTAGCCATGACTTTAGAATTTTTTTTAATTTTCGGTCCAAAAGGTTTTTTCGCTTTGATGCCTGCTTCTTATTCGGCTTAAAATGGTATAAAATGGTGTATATTTGGGTATTTGAACTAAATATTCCTTGTATTTGTCCATATTTATCCATAAGATAAATATTTAAGCATAAAAATGAATGCGGATTGCTCTATTTCCCTGAATGTTGAGTAATTTGTACTATTATTCAGCAATTTTTTTAAAGAGCGCTCATCACTGCTGGCCAGACTCGCTCCACTGGTTTAGCGGACTAGACAAATTTTTCCCTTGGCAGTAAAAGTACAGCTGAGTCGCCCAGCATCACTCGCCCAGTAATAGTTACAATAACTCCGATGTATTGCGAAGCATTTCTCGCAAATATTCACAAAAGTTCTAAAAAAATAGCGATTTCTCGAAATCTGTCTGCTTTTTTTTTATAGCGTTTAAAGTCATTTTTCAAGGCTATTTTTTGCGTTTGTACTAGAACTAATAGAGCCTCCGTTTCTTCGAAGCGTTGCATTATTTCTTACACCGATATCCACCGATATTTATTTCTGGTAAATCTGCCTCCATTCACTGCGACTGCCAATGTGAAATCCTTAAAACCACTTGGCGACCGACGAGCCACGTGGATTTCCTGGATTTGCTAGGTTTATGTCTGTCGAAGGACAAAAATCGGACCTGCTGCTTAGTTTCGACAGAAATAATTTATCTCAGTTGTGCTTAACTGAATCGGAGATTTCTTAAAAATCCAAAATTTCATTGAATAAAATCGTTAAAAATATGAATGTTATTCGATGTTTTTCATAGGGAATTGCATGTCTGCAAACGATATTTGCCTGTTTTAATTACAATTGCTGCCATCGTCTTTCGAAAGCTCCGACTATTGCGCGAATCGACGTTTCTCTCGGTCCGCGTCCATCTTTCTATTATTGCTGCTGCTGTTGTTGCTTGTCGCTTAAGCCATTCGGCTGCTCGGCCTTATGTGCTTCGAACGCATTTAGCATTCTTACAGTCGGGCACATGCTTAAATTGATTTCGAGCGGCGCTCTCACTATTTACAGTTTTATACTCGGATTTCTCATTTTGATTTGCATTCCTCGACTATTAAGAAAGCTCTAATTAGTCTCTAAAATGCAGTTGTTTTTCCAATAATATGAGGAATAATAATGAGTTTTTACGATCTCCTTATTTTTTAACGCTTTCCAAAGGCGAAGCTAAACTTCTTATTGTTTCTTCGTTTTCAGCATACTCATTATTACAGTGTTAAATCAAGTCAGTCCTTGCAAGAGCATTCACCACGTCGACTTCGGTTGAGATGAGAGAAGAGACGGGCTGCCTTGATGCCAGAGCAGCCCTGCAAGAAGCGACCTGCGACAGCTCGGCCGCCGTCGATGCAGCCACAAGCAGTCATCCGACCTTTAATCAAATTGTCTATGTGCAGTATTTTATTTTGCGAGACCGTTAAAATGAAAAACGAGAATGTGTCTAAATCTAAATAGATTTTTCAATAATTCTGAAAAATAATTTCGTTTTTTTGGGCAAATTTTCTCTCACTGAATCATCGAATTGAAATTGCTCGCTTTGGTTCAGTTCAGTTATTTTTCGTTTAGAATTTTGTTGCTTCGTTTGTTTGTTCGACAAGAATTATTCGAAGGAACGCTGACGGTCTTTGAGTGTTCAGGTCGGACTGTCGGACGTGGCTAGGCCACCAGGTTTGCCCCTTTATTTTCTGGGCTGCAACTCAATAATTTGCCATGAGGGGTGGTGCTGGCCACTCACCGCACTTCGAGGAAAACCTCGGTCTCTGGCACATTTGCCTAATCCGACTGGCCGGCGGAGCTCAGCAATGGTGAATGCTGTTAAGAAGGAATTTATGTTCCGACCGGACCGGATTTACTCTAACTATTCTCGCATTATTTTCACATAAAGCCTATAATTTTTAAATTTATTATTGCAACAGTTATAAGCCATACAAAATTGATCGGCGATGACGGGAAAAATTTGTTGCCCTTTTTTCTTTTATTGATTACCTTCTATTGGAATTATTTCGCCTCGAGACATTGAAAACAAATTTCTGCTGCTGATGGATCGACTTATTTAGCCGTTTTTTGGTACCTTTTGGCACCGAAAGGTTTTTTTTGAAGACCAAAAGGATTTGAAGGATATAAATGAGTTTGAAGAGGAAGAGAATTTATAAATAAGTGCTACCAACTGATTTAGAAAATAAATGAGAATTTAACGTTCAGTTAGTTGATTAATTTAGAAAACAGTGGTTCAAAAAATTAGAACCACAATTCTGATAAGTGAACGAAATAGTAAAATCAATTATTATCAATGAAATCAGTCGACTCACAAAGATTTCGCTTGCAAAACTTATGGATCACCATTCACCAGTTTAAACCGTATTTGTTCATGAATTATTTTTATTTTCTATTTTTGTATTTGTCTTCATTTATGTTATTTTTTATACTATTTTTAGCAAATTTCTCCGCCTTCGAATAGCCTTTGTGCTGTCTCCTCAAAAATGAAACCATTTCGATAGAGAGTGAGAGACTTTAGGGTCGGAGGTGCAGGTAAATCCTTGGTTTTATTTTTATTCCCGTAAAGGAATCGAGCCTGCATGCCTGCAATTGCCTAGCAAATTTGGAAAAATATTCTCAGTTTCACTTAAGTTTTAATCAGATACAATGATATATTCGCCGAACTGATTCTTTTTCCATTTTCTCTAATACCAAATGCATTACCGATACCGTGATAGAACGTCACCTATGTTGTCAGTCCTGTCGCCGCTCATCGCAGAAACTGATAAATATCTCGCTACTTGTTAAGGCTTGTGTTGGATGGCATCAAAAACGAGGAGAACCAACCAAGACTTGGGTCGGTACCGAAGAGATTTCGAATTTCTTCGCGGCCCAGCGATATATTGGCTTAGCGGACTGAAAAAGAAGTGGCTTGAAAACGCCTTACCTTTTAGCCAGCGGAGCCAGTCTGACCACTAATAATGTGAGTTGTAGATGTTACAGTAGAAAATATTACGTTAAGGAAAGCTCATTTCATTTGGAATATTATCACACGAAAAAAATTCCGTGAAGAAAATTCGTAGAACGTAAGGGGTTTTTTCAAAATTTAATCTCCTTTTGCTTAATTCAGAATTCGGATGAATCATTCCTCGAACGGAACGATAAAACCAAAGGCGAATTTCGATGCGGACGCTGCAGCAGAATCAATCGAGAAGGCGCTGACTGCATCTGGATGTGACGAAGTGGGAATTATTCAGATTATCGCGCATATAAATAATGCTCAAAGACAGATGGTAAGTTTCAGAATTTATAGCGCTTAGAAGGGGAATCGATTTATTTTATTTTTTTTTGAATGGTTTATTTTGAATGGCACTTGTCACGCGAATAGCCAGAGTTTTACAGATCAGAACTCCATATAGTGTGAAATTTGGGAAGGATTTGATCCAGGAATTAAAAAAGAAATTAAGCGGCGACTTTGAAGACACCGTGGTTGGTTTAATGGAAACGCCAACTAAATTCGACGCTATGCAGTTACGCAAAGCTATGAAGGTATGAATTTAATGAATTTAAAGTTTTAAAGTTTCGAACTTATCTGTGAATTTAGAAAGAGATTATGAAAAATATGCAATAATGCAGGGTCTGGGAACGAATGAATCCGTTCTAATAGATATCTTATGTTCTCGGAATACTTCCGAACTCGAAGCTATCGCGAATGAATATCAAAATGAGTTTGGGAAATCGTTAGAGGAAGATATCATAAGTGATACAAGTGGAGATTTCAAAAACTTACTTGTCGCTTTACTTCATGCAAAGCGTGATAGTAGTTTTGGTATGAACCAAGCAAGAGCACGTGAGGTGAGTAGATTATTCTTTCAAACTGATCAACTTTAAAATAATTACTTATAGATCTTCAACATTGAAAAAAAATCTGTAGGCTTCACAAAAAATGTTCTCAAATAAGGAGAAAAAAGGAAAACCAGATAAAGACGTTTTTGTAAGTGTTTTCTCAACGGATAATTTTCGTCAGCTTCGCCGAATCTTCAGTGAATACTTAAGTATGCATGGAGAAACCATACAGGATGGAATTGAGGTAATTTGAAATACTTTTTTATTCTCAAACGTAGATAAGTTATTCATGCATCTAATTTCTTCTACTTTAATGGTTTAACCTTTCACTCTTTTTTTGAAATTGTGGCAATTTTGTTCCTTTGTTCTATTTTTGTTCAGTTTTTGCAGGATATAGACATTTTTTATTAAATGCAATTGATATTATCATTTAATTTGATTTCATTGGAACCATAGGAGCAACAATTCTCCGTATTCTTGTACTAGGATCCTGAAAATGTGCCGAGAACAGGATTATTTTTTCTTGATGGCTGATTTAAATCTTTATAATCTTTATCTTAAATGCACTGTTGAGCATTTAAAAAAAATTTTAGAGAGCATTTAGTGGAGACGCTCGAGATGCTTACATTGCTCTTGTCAACTCCATTGAAAATAAGCCAAGATTTTTCGCAAAGCAACTTCATGCGGCAATGAAAGTTAGCACAGTTTTTCTCCTTTTTTCTTCCTTTTGCGAAGAGCATGATGATATTTTGGATTTGGATTTTGGATATTAATTTTTGGATTTTTTTATTTTTCATATAAAGAATGGAATAACAAGACATCTATCAAAATCACATTTATATAAAAGTTGGAGGATCACATTGATTTGTGGGAATTTCAAAAGTTAATTAATATTTCAATTAATATTAATATTTAATAATATTTTATATTAAAATTAATATTTTTATTGCTTCCGCTATCGGATATATTTTTCCACATTATTTTATGGGATCGAGGTCAATAACATCTTAATTATTATTATTTTTCAAGGGTCTCGGAACAAATAACAATGATCTTAGGAGAATAATTATATCTCGCTCAGAAATCGATCTTGGTGCAATCAAAAGCGAATTTGAAAATATGTATAAAAAACAATTATTGGATTCCGTTAAATCCGAATGTTCTGGTCCATATCGTGATCTACTCGCTACAATTATCGCTGGCAATTAGCTTAAGCTTAAGCATTTCTTGGTTTTTTTTGTTTTGAAGCACCTTATTTATTCAACCTTTGCCACTTATTCATTAAATTTTTATTGTGCTAATTAATATAATATATATCGTCCTTGACTAAAGTAGCCAATTCATGAAAACTGCTAAAAAATTTCGCTAAAATTTGTTGAATCCCTAGGTAATGACCATCTTCCCAGAAAAATGTTTCTTACAGGAATTCCAGAAATAATGAATATATATTATAATGAATATATATATTTCGTTGTTATCGTTCGAGAGTCGTATATCTATAAAATTGCAGGAGAAAATGAATGCAGTAAGTCTTATTTTTTACAGAACTATCGCTTATCATCTCAAATTTCAGTCTCTGCCAATTTAATTGCTACAATTTTTCAAATAGACCATTCGTATTGATATATTGGAAAATAACAATGATGAGGATCGATTGGTGTTGTTTATTTAAAATGTGGATTATACCATTTGCAATGCAATTTTTGCGATTCTTCTGCAGAAATTTTCCTGAAATAATTAAATAATTAAACTAAATATAATATAATTAAAGTTTTTCTGCTTTTATTTCTGCTTTTTTAAAAATATAAATTTTTTGTTGAGTTGCAAGTAATTAAAAATAAATTTTTCTCTTTTTTTGCTTTCGTCACATTACACTGAATTTACACAATTGTACTGAAAAGAAGTTTTTTCCAGAAAAAAATTATTTAATGCTTGGAAGCGTATGAAATTCCCTAATGATTTCCGTAAATTTTTTGTGAAAAATTAAATTCTTTTGTCCGATAATTTGCTGATTCCAGCTTTACTAATGGTTAGTGGAATTAACCCAACCAGAAATAGTGGGAATTAAAATGAGGATAAGTGAATTTGGATATTCATAACCAATGAAGAATTCAATAAAACTCTAAAGTAATAATTTAATATCAAAGAGTACCATTTAATTAATTAAATTATATTATGAAGATAAATCGTATACTACGGGTTGGATATTCGGCTTAACAACGGAACCAAGAGCTAATTCTAATGCATCATTATCACCACAAATTGGGGTCAAAGTTCAAGAACTAAGGTACCTTCAAATATTTCCCAATTTTCAAATTTTCCAAATCATAGCCTGTCGAATAGCTTATAAAGATTTACTAGGAACTAATATAATATAATATAATATAATATAATATAATATAATATAATATAATATAATATACTCGTCTGAACTCGTCTTATTCTAGTCTTTTTGTGTGTTCAGTACAACGAGCTAAATAAGCAGTTCGCAACCTTTCAAAAAGAAAAATTTTTCTGAATCAGAAAAAAAATTTTCTGATTTTATTTTTGTTTCGTATTTTATTAATTTCTTATCAGTAAACTGAAATAAACCTAGTAAATCAACATTCACTATTGATTTTATTCTGTAAAAATGATTCACAAATTTTTTTGGTTGATTTTGTAGATTACAGCATACAAGGAACGCTTGACATTTTCATTCTCCAAAATCACATTCAACGCGAATTTCTTTTACAATTTTATGCGTTACGATAGAATCATGAACTATTCCTTGATTTGCAGATTTTATTTAAATTTGCTGAAATTTAAAGGGGTGATTCGAAAAGGCAGAGTCGCCTAAGTCGCCAAATTTTTATCGCAGTTAGGTTGAATATAGCAAGGAACGAAGGACATTCGAGTGGTTGTTGCTCAGATTACTGTCTCGAGTGTCAACTCTCGAGCACTGGGCTCTGATAACAATAAACCTTTTAAAAAATCAAGGCCCTCTCATTTCTTTTCCCAGGTGATTTCGTTATAAAAGTTTCTCACCGTACCGACAGACAAGCAAGCCTGGCTGTGAGCTTAATCACTTTATATTTCGAATCAACCACAGTTTACTCCGTTTGTTTGACTTCATTTTTCTTGATTATTTTTTGAAATCTAGATAGCTTATTCTTTCTCTTTTTTTTAATGTTTCATCATATATGTCAGTAGAAACAGGAATATAGGGCGCAAACTACTGTATTCTTCCAGAATAAGGCGATTTGTTTTTCGTTTTCAGTGCAAATGATGACTGTTAATGAAAAACTTGGCTCGATAAAAATTAAGGTCGATTTCAATGATGAATTGGCTGCCATAGAGCTTGATGAAGCCTTGAAAACAAAAGGAACTGATAAGCGACGAATTATTCGGCTGTTGACAAGTATTTGCAATACTCAAAGACAGATGGTTTGGTAATTTTGTGGCAAATTAGTTCGTGGTGATTTCATTGCAAAAAAATGAATAATTGCAGATGATTATACCATATAAATTGAAAACGCAGAAAGATTTATTCGGAGAGCTTAAAAAAGCATTTTCTGGTGACTTGGAAGAGACTATACTTGCCCTTATGCAAACACCACCTCAGTATGATGCAAGTCAATTAAAGAAAGCCATGGCGGTATCCATTTTTTACTTTCAGGCTTTATTTTTCACTCCCACTCACCAATTTCTAAGTTGATTTGCTCTACTGGCTATTGGCACATTTTCCCCAGGGAATAGTGGAACAAGAAGAATGGTACTCAGCATTGCTTCGATTTTGAATGGCCCTACAAGGCGCATGGACTGCCTGACAATACATTTCACCCAATTGGTTATGATGCTTCTCATATTCTTTGACGAATTTTTTATTCAAAATTTATAATTTTCAGGGTCTCGGCACAACTGAATCAGTTCTTATTGAAATAATTTGTTCTCGAACAAATGAAGAACTCTGGTATATCAAAAACCAGTATATGAAAGACCACGGAAAAAGTCTTGAAGCAGATGTAATTGGAGATACAAGCGGTGACTTTCGAGATATTCTTGTTGCTCTTTTGAATTCAAAACAACTCGAGGCCAGTATAAATGAAACACAAATTAAAGAGGTTTTTTTAAAAAATTATTTGAGAAATTATTCAGTGGATGTCCAATTTAGCTCCATTTTTTAAAATTGTCCATTCGCCCTCACTTCCTTTAGATGTTTCTCTTATTCCTTTTCTTTTCCTTTTTACTTACTGTGGACTGTAAAAATCATTGAGAAATAATAATTTAATTTTAAAATAACATCATTTTTGAAAAAAAGAATTCAAATTTGAAGTTTAGTTCAATATTTAAATTAAATTAAAAAAATATTATTTAAGCGGAAATTTATGTCCCATTTTAATTTAGGGATTAGAGAAACGCTCAAATAATAACCATATTAGTCGACCATACTGACTAATCCGCTTAATCATTCATATATCTTTATTATTATTTCTGGATTTTGATCATAAAGTTTCAGATTAAAAAGATTCATTCTGTTATTCTTTAGGATGTGCAAAAACTGAAGGGAAAAAATAACAAAGTGGACAAAACATTTTTGAAAACTATTCTCACAACACCCTCAAGAAGTTATATAAACTCATTGCTTTCAGAATATGAAAGGATTTCTGGAGAGCCGATTGATAAAATAATTCAAGTTAGTTATTTATTTAATAATATGAATAAAACTTTGGGGGTTGACGGTTCCATACAATTACTTTACGATCATCCTCTTGCATCCCTCTTCTTCTCCACGCCTATTTCTAGCCCGATACCATCGTATACCAGAACTAGATCCCTTGGCAAGCGAATCATTTATGTATAGATGAGTTTCTAAAATCAATTTGGATTCATTTTTAATGGCGAACTTTGCTTTTTGCGAGGAATAGGAATCGAACCTATGTCCATGTGCGTGTCTTAATCGAAAGAAAATAGTACTCGGTCCGTTTCATACAGTTATTGTTATACATTATTTTTGAATGAATTTTAGAAAAACTTCAGCGGCGATGCAAAAAATGCATTATTAGCAATCGTCCAATGTCATAGGAATCCGACAGCGTTTTTTGCGGAACGGCTATATGGAGCGATGAAGGTCTTATTTTTTTGGTCTATATAATACTGGGGCAACGAACATCCATATTCTTTACTTTTGCAAATCCATAACACACACACTGGCTTTTAAATTCCATAAATCATACATAAATGGTAATTTTTAGTGCTGCCATAGAGCATTTTTCTTTATTATTACGTTAACATATTTCGATAAAACTTTCTTATTTACCACTTCTGCTGATTCCGCTGTTAGTGCTAGAAATTTTTCCAAGGAGTGAATGGCAATAGAAATATGAATGGGTCATAAGCACCATCAGAAACCTCACCATTCACTCCTATTAGGGAACTGAAACTCTGGTACTCGATGCAGGTCGAGACAGCAATGTCATTCAACCATTTCATGCTCCTGTTTAAATCAGCCTTGCTAATCAGATATATGTAAATTAATTTAATTGCACCAAGAAATTTTCCAGGGTATAGGAACTCGAGATTCGGATTTAATAAGAATTATTGTTAGTCGGTCAGAAATCGATCTTGTTAACATTCGTTCACTATTTGCATCGGTTTACAAGAAACCACTGGTTGAATTCATAAAATCTGAATGTTCAGGTGCTTATCGGGATTGTTTAATTTCTATTGTGAATGGAAACTAATTTGCGAAACATTATTTAATTTAATCACTCATGTTCAAAAATTGTTATTACAATTTTAAAAAACAATCAAAAATATACATTTAGAGGTAATATTAAAAACAGTTATTCTAACCAATATAAACTTACATACGCGGTACTTTTAGTACTTTTCTAACAATATGTTCTGACTATTGCCTTTAATAAACTAAATGGTTAAATGGAATATTCTGTTAGCAAAAAATAGCGTAAAAAATTGTTTATTTTTCGTATAAGCAGTTCTTGAATCAAATAAACAAAAATGCACCGATAAATTTAAAAGATAATATTAAATAAATATTGAAGAAATTGCTTTCAAAAAGCATTACAGGTGATTACTGAAATATTACAGGTGATTTTTTCCAATTTAGAATAAATAATAAAAACAATGAATGATTTTACGAAGTATATTTTAACTATTTGAGTAACAAAAATTGATAGATGAGGAAAAAACTGTAAAATTATATAATCATTCAAAAATTATTTCTTAAAAATTAAGTTAAATTTCTTTTTTTTTAAGGAATTAATTAGATTTATTAAGTCATAATCAGAATATTTCCTGCTTTGTCAGGTCAGATTCGCTTCACTGGCTATTAGAATGAGGTACCTGAGAGTCGTATAGAGAATATAGGGAAATAAAGATGGGTCATCAGTATGCAGATTTCCAAGAGCTAAGGCACAACCATAATGTTTAAGGATAATGATCCAAAAAAATATACCAATCGATCGTAATATCCACATTAAATAATGTACCATTTTATTGCAATGAGCAATTTCGTAATAATTCTACAATTTTCTAGCTTGTGGTCATTCTAATTTCATTTTCAATCATTTAATTAATTTAATCCAGTTTTTATTAAAATAGATTGCCAAGCATATTGAAACATGGATAAAGATATTATGAAAATGTCATTCCAAGAATCTTGATTTTCAGGATGCCAATCAACATGAAAATACCATTATCAAGAAAATTAAGTTATTAAGTTATTAAAAATTATTTAAGTAAAAAATTTGATGAACTGGTCTCGTATTCGATGAACTAGCTTATAGCAAATCTTATACAAACTGTTCTTCGCTATTTGCCTAAAACACCGTGAATAAACAAGACAAAATATCCTACGCTTCAGATACAAAGATTCAGATAAATAGATACAAATAAGATCAGATCCACCGATACAAACATGGAGTAAAAAAATCTTTAAGATTGACGAAAGTAGGCAAAGATGTGTAATAATGCGAAATCGACTCAATTTCGAGGATTTATGATATTAATTTATTATAGTTTATTTTTTTCCCTAAATTTTGTTTTATGCTAAAATAAAATTTCACAGTGTAAAATTTATTTAGAAAGGAAGTTATCAACAGAGGAATAATACTTTAAGAAATATGCACCAGTTGTTAAATTACTAGCGAAAGTAATGAAATGAAACAATTAGTTATGGCAATTAGGGCAATAAAGTATAGTTTCATTAGTAGAAAATGACAAAGATGAAGAAAAATTTGAAAAAAACTGAGAAAGATTGAACTCATGAATTACTGGACAACAAGAAATTACGATCGGAATCAATAAAATTGCTTGATGAAGCTTTAATACTTGAAGAGTTAAATTCATGATTAGGTGAATATCGAAGGTTGTTCAGAATTTTCAGCGGCATTTTCGAATCATCGTTTGATTCATTTGATTTGCAGTAGTAGTTGCGAAGAGATTTAATGAGATAGAAAATCAGTAATAGAACAAATATCCATAAAAAAATATCAATAAAGATTAATAGCGCGATATAAATAGTACGACTTGGAAACTGAAGCAATTTAATATAATTTAATGAAGAACAACAATTTAAAAATTTTTTAATTTACGCTTATCATGAGAAATCTTTAAGAAATATGACTACTTTGATAATATATTTTGTTCTTCTCAGACCACTTATCATTTCTGCCTTGGCTAGTTATTATAATAAGACTCCTTTGACGGTGAACTCTATGTTTGAAGTATGGGTAGATCATATTACTTATATCTCAATCAAAATGACATATTTATTCATTCAAGGAATAAATCAAATCAAACTTGTGATCGCTTAACCCCAGTATAAAGATATCACTTGATCAGCCTACTCCTAATAAAACAAAAATCAAGACAAATACTCCTAAGAAATTACCTTCGATGCAATATTAATAGTACCATTGCGTACAGTATTGATGTCTTTAACAATTCCACGCACGACTTGATTGAATTGTTTGATACCTTCTTCCATCATCGGCAATGCTTTATCCAAATGCTTATCCACTTTAAAAAGTGCCTTATGAATTTCTTTAATAGTGGTTTGTATATCTTTTATTTCGTCATCAATGAACACCATTAATTACGATAAAATCCTAAAAGTTTTGACTTATTATTTCTTTTATAAAAAAGTTTACGCATCTCTTAGAGGAAAGTGGTAATATGCTTATTCATCAAGAACGTTTAAATGATTGACATGAATGATTGACGAAAAAATTGATAAATTTTTATAAAAATTGGCAATTGGCAATTTAAATTCCAAATAACTGCTTAAGTCCAAAAAAATTTGCACCCAAATAACCAATAACTTTCCTCGCTAATTGTTATAATTGAAGGATATAAAATTTAGCTTTGCCGACACAATCAGGTATTTTATATATCTGTGATGTGAAGAAATGATATGAAATGGAGAAATTTCGAAAATATCATTTCAAAATCCTGAAAAGTTTTTATAGGATAATGATGAACTATACTATCTCTATTACCAACCTACTCGACTACCGAAAATCGCTAAAACGAATGTATCTTGTTATCATGTGGATTTATTTAAATTTTTCCAGATCTTGTTCCAGAAAACAATCTTTTGCAACTAAAATTGAAATAAAAAATGGAATAAAATGAAAAATATAAAAGTAGAATTAATTGGACAAATGGTAAGATAGCCAAGTGGTTGTTGCTTGGACTGGAGTTTCTTTTCCAATTTTCCCCTTGGACTAAACCTGCCATTAAAAATATTGGGACTTGTATTGTCATCCGTGATGCTCTGGAAAGATCTTTTATAGATAAGCAACTGCTAATGGGGCGATGTTATGAGTACTAACCACTTATTTTTTCTGCGATATGATAGAGATACTCATCCACTGAAGAAATATTTTTTTTAAAGAGCACTCACCATTACTAGATTCAGATCAGACAAATACGCCAAGCAGTCTATTGGCGATAAAATAATAGGTGAGTCGCCAGCATCACTAGGATTAAAGAAATATTACTGAGTGGTTAAACTCGTCAAAAAACAAATTAAACTATTTATCCAGAAATATTTTACCATAAAAAAGAAAGGCATTAAAAAATGATACAAAAAGATGAGATCAGAATAGCAAAAGCGAAAAGTGAAAAAAATTGAGCTCTTATAAAAATAAAAATAAAATTTTGCATATTTTATCCTTTTTTTACATACAGAAATATTAATAAAAATAGCGAAAATTCTAGGAAACTTCTTTTTTTTTCACTACATTCCGTTATGACTAATTATTACCTTAAATTTATAATATCGGAATTTACAAATGATTATAATTGCAATTCATTGATTTCTCTTTGATTAATTAAATTATAACCTAAAAAATAGGTAAATAAGCCGTAAAAAAGATCATTTGGCTTAAAATTCGAACTTTGATAATAACTATGATAAAAATAATAGGAGCTAACGTCGTGTACCGTTGAGCAATGTAAATAAAGCAAACATGATTCAAGACTTACGGTTCGTCTTAATAAAATTAGACCCATGAATTAATTTCATGATTTTATGTTTTCCGATAAATTGGATATGGACTCTGGCAATGGAACTCTGATTTAGGAATATAAATTATATTTGTGGATATTTCCATTAATATAATTCAAATTTAATTTTAGGAAAATATACAGAAAAAAAGGCCTAAATAAAAGCGTACTGAGCAAATGTAAAGGACTAAACCTTCGAGAATGACTAAAAGCTTTATAAAGTTCTTAAAACATCAATAAATTAATAGACCGCATTTCGTTGTTTTTTTTTCTAGCCAATTGCGAGATTTACCGATTGGAAACTTATGAGTTTCGTACTTCAAATATTCATAAATAATTTTTTCTAGACTTCAGCTCCTTTATGGCTGAACGATATTGCTACCCCAGTTTGAACATTATATCTTCCACCATCAACATCTGTTAGCCTTCTCTGATAAGTCGTCCTCTTGAATTCTTCATCAGAATTTGTACTATCTGAAATTATTCTCATTCCTATCACTAAATAACTGATTAAAATTTAATAAACGTATAAATTTTATAATAAATAATAATTTATTATAAATTAATTAATTTATATAAATTTTATAATAATTTTACGATATATATTTTATGATAATTTTAAATTAATACTTAAATATATATTTTGTTTGTACTTAAAAAATTAATATATAAATTTAATGTGATTTTTAAGTAAATAACAGAAAAGTTTTTATCTTTTGTTTAAAAAACAACAGAACTTCAGCTTCACTAAAATTGGAAAACCAAAATTAGAATTAAATAAGAGAAATATTAAATACCGATCCTCTGTTATCCTAAATATCCTAGATTATTCTAGATATTTGAACTTGAATCATCAAATTACAATGAAACAGGAAATATTCCCAAAAGCTCCATCTATTATCTAAAATCTGTTAAGTTCAAGTTAATAAGCATGATCAATGATTACAAATGAAGAAGAAAAGCATTACAATTACTTATATCTCCATTTGCGACAACTCCTATTTTACGTGGTTCATGTTCCATAGGAATAGAAATATGACCGCTTCGAGACTGTACATATGATGGAGATGGTGGCAAATTTGAAAAATTGTGGAATTCTTTGTATAACGGGTATTTTGACGGAATTGCTGGAAAAATAATGAATATTTAATGATAAAACTGCAAAAAGGCCGAAATCCTTTCAACAATATTCATTTTCACTTCCCGTGAATAAAGTTATACTGCCAAGTTTTCATAACATAGATTATTTACCTGGATTACTGCGATTACTACGAAAGACTAATTGATATATTCCATGGCATCTAATAACTAATTTAATGAGGAGAATAACTGATAATAAAATGAAAACAACGGTGAGCGATATAAACAGCAAATAAAATATCCAAGCATTTGGTATCTAAAATTGTACAAATTATTACATTTTTTTCAAGAATATGAAAGAATATTAAATTTTTCCAATTAGAAATTTCCACATTTTCCAATTATTAAAGAGAATGAAATCCATTTGCTGAAGCTAAATTAATCATTTTTTATAATCAATTTAACAATTACATGGTTAAGATTTCTGCTTTTGGTTCTTCTTAATAGTCTTCAACATTTTTATTTCGGTGATTTCGCTAATTTCAATGATTACTAGATTGAATGATAAGGTTTCGCAAGAAAACAAGTACAAGTGGATACAAATACTCAGCACTATCCGGATGCCATTTTCAAGAAAAAATTTTTCAGTCAAATTTAAAAAACTTGACCAATAATGCCAGGCTGAAAATACCATTAAAATCCAGCTGGAAAAAAGAGCCACTCTCCACCCTAAATGGACTAAGATATTATCAGAGACATACTGATAAATCAACTAGGGATATCTCATTTGAATATCACGTATTATAGAAAGGTATTCATTTTTTCGCACAAATACTATTATGAAATTATATAAAATAAGTAGAGAATCATGCAACGGTTGCGATCGAACTTCGATTTACCAAATATTTTATCTACGGCTCAAGTATCAAATCATTTGATGTGATTTAGCTTCAAAATGTGAATCATAGAAGGGACAAACTTCAGTCATTTTCATTGTTTTAATATGAATATATATGAAAAAAAAATTTTGAAATATACCTGGGATATAGTTAGAGCTACTTGTTGAGTAACTACGCTAGCATCGGCTGCAATATTTGCCACTGAATTATCGAACGTATCTAGCGTCATATTTATTCTGCAAAATTTTTTTTGATAATTTATAAATTCTATAAATTATTTAAATTTATATAAAAATTTTTTTTATACAATTTTCATACAAATTTTAAAATTCTATAAATTTCAAATATAAATTTTTTTAAATGTTGTTTTTCATTTTTCCTAAAAATAAATACTATTGTAACAGTGAGAGGAAAAAAATCAATTTAAAAAATTATAAAAATAATGGGATTGAAAATAAAACTAAATCTACCTAGATGTTATCCCAATGATTTGTGCATTTATATGACCAACGAGAGATCCAAGCTGTGCTAAAGTATAGCTGAGTTCTTCGATTGTCTTATCAACGGACATTAGAATAATTGAAAGATAATTATCGTCCTTATTCGTTGCCTTCTAGCGATGTTCTTTTTTTGACAAATGCAAAAATCTGAATTAAATCTGAACTATTTATCAAATAAGAAAATAATTTAAAGTGGCACTGTCCAACTGTAATACTGTAATATATGTATAAGGATTTTTATTAATATGTTGCGAGAGCTGACACGTTCCTTTACTAATGGTAAAAATGATCTTAGATTTTGCAGCTTCTATCTTCTTAGCCTATTTAAATTCTTCGGCATAGGAACAATTTTTCTCTTCTTCTAACAACACTTATCACTCTTGGTCTAACAAACTCCACTGACTAATTGGAGAAGACTCTTCGCCAGGCAGTCACTTGAGGAAAGACAGATAATTTTCGACACCACCAGTGCTCCATTATTAACAACAGTGAAGTTATAAAAATCGAGACGATGCTTAACTTGTGTCAGAACACACTGAATTCACTGCTCACCAGGCAAAATCAAGCGAAAGAAAAAGATTATTGTTATGATTATTATACATTGTTATATATAAAAGCAATTTTTTAAATATCTGATATATTGTTATTTTTATTTATTATTATTCTTATGCAATCGTTAATTGTTTGCTTAAGGTCTAATATGTAGAAAAGATTTTCTTTTGGAATTTAATTATTGCCGCTGCTATGACTTCAACAATTGGCAAATATGACATCGGAGACCGGTGCGCCAATGGAGAACGCCTTTTTCGTTATGCCGAAGAGTATGAATTTTTTATTATATTACTAACATTTATATTACTAATACTTGCTTCCGGCATCGTAGAAAATATCTAATCAGGTGAAACTCCCCTGATAACCAACACTTCAACCAGATTGATTATATCTTAGTCAGTCACCGTTGGAAGAGTTCCGTAGTACCGCGGTGCTGGAACTGGTAGTCTTCATGGATCTGACCATGTTATGGTTCGAGCCAAGATCTGCATAAAATTGACAACTCGCAGAAAACAGCACCTCCCAAGATCCTTCAACAATCTCAAACTAAAAAATTCGGGGACAGTGAGCGCATTTCAAACTGAATTATTGAAGCATCTCAGTAATATCAATGATATCAAATGATAATAATATCAAATATCAATGATCTGGAACGGCAAATGAATATTGGTCCGAACTAAATGTTTCCGAAAATCAGCCACTTCCACGCCAGGTATACTAGTAGGAAGTGTGCTAGTTGCATATCGAAAGCAACTGTCAAACTGCCTGAAAAAACTGCCAAAGCACGAATGTCAGGTGATCCTGGCTATCCGATGCTTCGAAGATTTGCAACGAAAACATCTCGACGGGATAGAAATCACTATTGGAGTGACATGAGAATAGAGAGGGCGGATCGATTAAGCGATAATAGGAAACTATTACGCCTTCTTCATGAAGCAACTATGAAACGATCGTGGAACGATCAATGAAATGGTAAGGGGTACTGTGCCCATTAACAGCAGTCACTTGGTGAAAGGAATCTTTTGAGGCCGAATTTAACCATGAAGTGCCATCTGTTGTCCCTGATATAACTGATACTGAACCATATGCTTGTAATTCCGAGCCTCCAACACAAAAAATAATTTCCATATGCTTATGGCCAATAAGACTCTGGGAAAAGATGCAAAGTTTTTAAAATATTGTCCATCGTTCTTCATAACGCACCTTTAATAAATTACTCTCTAGTGTGGAAAAAAAAATATTACCAGATGATTGGAGCAATTCTCCCAATTCTCAAGAAAGGTGATAGGACATACTGCGACAATTATCGAAGAATCAGCCTACTAGATGTCTCAGTGAAAATTTTTGCTTCCCTGTCACTCAACAGACTTATGGAAATACGGGATGGCAGGATGCGCCCTAATCAAGTTGGATTCAGACTTGGGCGTGGTTGTGCTGACCAGAGTTAAGAAGGGTGTTGAAACATCGCTTCAGATATTTGCAACCCACTATCACGTGTTTCATTGACTTTGCGACTTTAAATTTAATTGATAGAGAGGTGCGTTATAAGAAGATGGAACGCGACGGTGTTCCAGAGAAGATCATTTGACTCATAAAGGCATTTTATGAGGGCACGTCGGCACAGGTCTGTGTATATGGGAAGCTCTCTTTCTCTTCGAAATAAGAATGGTGTCCATCAGGGCTGCGTTCTTTCCTCTACAGTATTCAACTATACGATAGACTGAATTATGGACACTTCTTGTCGGCACTCAAGCGGTGTCAAAATCAGTCCAAAGCATACGCTGACGATGTAGTTCTTTTTGCTGACAGTTATGACAAAATGCAAGCAATGCTAAATTGTCAGAAACTGAAGCAAAAATCGGACCTCAATGTAAACAAAACGAAAGCCTTATCTTATGTGAAAGAAGCTGATAAAATGCCTCCTTTTGTAAATTCATTGCCGGTTGAGGAAATACCCGATTTTAAATACCTTGAGTCCAGTCCACTCTAATACCAAATGGACAGGCAAAAGATAATATTATAACTTGGCAGCTAGAAATGCGTTCTTCCGATTGACGAAATCTTTATGGAGTGAAATCACCAAAAAAAATCCGCATCTATATAGCAGTGATCCGTTCGATCTTGCTATATTATATGGCTCTGAGACATGGTCAGTGAGAGTGGAGGATATTAAGAAGCAATCTATCTTTGCCCACTCTTGTCTAAGGTACATTTTGCTGGTCTATCGAGCAAATAAGATATCACATGATCGCATCCACCTTCGCTCAAATACCACCTATATTAATAATGTTTTCACAAAGCATCGTCTTCGCTGGGTAGGACACGTTCTCAGTTGTCCACCACAAGAATTGTCGCATATTTCGTTATTTGCTGAACCATGTGATGGATGGCGTCAAAAGCGAGGTTGACCAATCAAGACCTGGACTGATACGGTCAGAAAAAATTTTGAACGTATAGGTGGACCAGCAATATATGGACTTAAACGATGGAAAAAGGAATGGCTTCTATTACTATCGATCATCAGATCGCGCCACTTGGAAACGTCTTTACCCTTGTAGCCGTTGGAGCCAGCCTAACTAGTAATGGTGAAAGTTGTTAGAAGAAGAAAGAAAGAATATGTAGAAAAGACTTTCTTTTGGAACAATTATTTTCACATTTATCAGTTCAACTTTTATGAATATAAAACAATGAAAATTATATGCTGTACATATGAGAAAAATGAAATAAGCAAGTGTTTTTATTGCAGAACAAGTAGATGCGAGATTTGCGAGATTTTACATGCGTATGGTTATACAGTTTTAAATTCATCTTTAGTTGAAAAGCCGTAAAAAATTCACCTATTTTTATTGCGAATACCTGTATGAGCATCGAAGAATGATAAGAATAAGAAGAATAAAGAAAAAACATTTAAAAACTGGTTATAAGCGAGACAGAATAGTCGAGTGGTGTATTTCTTCTACTGATAAGGTGAAGCAACTACAGATTCGATTTTTGACGCTTGACGAGGGTAAAGCTATCATTGAAAGAAAAAAAAGAAGTGCCCACCTTCTTCGAGATTTCTTATGATCTTCATAGTAATCATTAGAGAAATACATAAAAGTTACAAGCAAAAATAGAACACTTTTCAAGAGTTTTTCAATAGATAATAAAAAAATTAATTAATATTTTAATCAATTTCTGAGGCTAAAAAGATATCTGAACAACTGCTAAAAGCATCATGTAAAATAAATTATTTGAGCAATTGCTAAAAAAAAAAAATCATCAAGAAAAAATGTGAAGAAAAAAAGAAAAAAAATGCAAAGAAAAATAAAATAAGTATTTCGGAAATGAAATAAGCGTCTATGCTGGGGCAGCAGGAGTAAGCCTTTCTTTCAAAATCAGCACAGCGCTGGCAAATTATTTGTAATTTTATTGTCAAGTGAATCCCTGGTCAAATTTGTTTGATGAGACAAGCCAGTGCGAGCCTAACCAGAAATGGTGGGCATCATTAGAAAAAGTCATCAAGAAAAAAAATAGAAATAATAATATCATTTTAAGGCCTTTAGTGCACCATATTAATTTTACCAAAGTCTTAAAGTGTAGTCCAAATATAGAAATATAAATATAGAAATTTTCAAATAAACCTATGTAAAAATTCAAAAAAAATTTTTTTACGCAGTAAAAAGAGAAAAATATTAAAAAAATTGCACAACTGAAAATGCATTTTTACCGGATTTTTCCTTTCCGTCAGCAAGTCAATGAAATGTTTAAATTTTGATGGAAATTCCATACAAAATTATATTGAAAAACAACTACAAGCTACATTCGTAAAGCAAACATACACACCACAACCATATAAAACTATTTTATCGATTATATAAGAAAATGATAATTAGTCCTTAATTTTATATATTTTATGCCGCAAATAAATGGTTAACATTCAGTATTTTTGCTAAGGATGGTTCTGACTATTATTAACAGGAAGAGGATAATATTGTCAAAGAGCCACTTGGAACGTAGAACAAAAGGGCCTCTATAACAAAATGTTGAAGGATTTATTTCAGTCACGGGAGGAAGCCCAGCCACGATACTTGAAGTATTATTTAAGTGTAAAAATATGCATTTTATCACTATATCTCTCTGAGTTTCTATGAATGCGAGTTTGGCCTTTAAGGAAGAGTATCTATGCTTTTGAGTTAAAATTCTTGAGAATACCATGAGCAGCCAAGAAAACAAATTGTTGGATCAATGAACAAATCCAACCTGAGTTTTTACTCGAGGAATAAATTACCAGACTAAAATTAAAATTATTCTATTTTGAGCAATTATAAGAAGACCTAGCTCTAAAGAAAACGATATGTAGCTGAAAATGAACAAGAAAAAAAGAAAAGACCAAACAAAGTGGACAGATCCAATTATAGTTATGAGTGCACTCCTGACAACCTTGAAAGATCAAACTGGAGATCATCCATTATATCTATATTTTTCGCTAGAAGTTGCAAGTTGCAAACACTTGAAGGCACATCATCATCACCATACT